GACGCCTGTCGCTTGGACCACTCCTCAGCGGTCTCCTGCCTGGGTGGCTGGATCTGCAGCTCAGTGAGCAGAAGCAGCACCGCTCGGACACACACGCGGCGCGTGAAGAACCGGCCGCTGAAGTCTGCAAGGAACCGCAGCTGCTCTTGCACCTGACGGCTTTTCAAATTCCCTCTGGGAAAAAGCTCCCCGGTGACCGCCAGGTGGTCGTGGCTGCTCGAGTAGCGCGCCAGCGCGCGGAAGAGCTGGTCCGCCCGCTCTGCACGCTTTCGGCGCAGCCTAGTTACATAGCTGCCCAACTTAAGCATGCTTGAGCAACAAAAGCCGAACAATGCATGCGGGCGCGCGCATGACGCGCTCCAAGAAAATGAATCCACAAATGCTGCCGGGGGTGGGCGTGCCTGCGCCCGCTCCTGCAGGAGCATGCTCTTCAAGCCTGCGATCCAGCGACGCGCTCCACGCGAGCGCCTGCAAGTGCTTATAAATCCAAGACCGCGGCCGAAAAGAGGCCCACTCAGCCAGCACGCATGCGCGAGCTCAGCTAAAAAGTTGTTCTCTTCTTCAAACGAGTTTGCAACAAAACTCCTGCAGAAAATTCTTTAGGGATTTAAATGGCGTTCTCTTGCTTGCTCTGTGACTTGCTGTGTGTGTCCAACGGCTGCAGCAACTCAAGCTAACGTGAACTTTGGGATTTGCACGGATTTTAGTTTGCTCTGGCATGTTGCGTGTGTCTAATTTCGTTAACAAAATGGCTGCGGGTGCGACGCATGAAGTGCACGCGCAGAGCCTGATGACACTCAAGCATTTAAAACAAATTCTTTGGGACTTCAAACGCTTCTCAAGTTTGCTGCGACTTGCTGCATGTGTCCACCGGGTGCAGCAAAACTCAAGCGAAAGCAAATTCTACATTTATTCGTTCGAAGTTCTGTTTACTTGGATGCGCTGCGCACGTCCAACGGAATGACTGCCTCTGCAATGTAGGATTCGAAGCACGACTTGACCGGTAGTGAAAAACTAAATGTATAAGCTCCAAGACCAACTTGCTTTCAAAAAAGGAGTTCGTGGGCCAAAAGGCGCCGTGGGAAATCCTTGTGTAAATTTGGTAAACGGAGCTGGGTACCGTGGGGCAAAAATTGGGCGAGTTAATCTGGGAAATGTGCGCTCTGAGCCCGCCTCCGTCAGGCGTCGCGAGCTTTGGGTTGCACGCGCGTGGCAGCTGAGCGAAATTCGCGCGCAGGGGCTGGTTTTCGGCCCGCCTCTTCCCCCAATTCTCGCACTTTTCTGCAGGTTAAGTAGCCTATTTCACGCGCGTGTCTTCAAAATCCTGAGCGCGCGCTGTGTTGGAGATTAATCCCCGCTTGGTGCAGCAGCTTTATCACTCGCGCGCTCTACACAGCCAGGATCAGATCTTCAGATCCGTGCGTTGAGTTTGCTCACCTCCAAAAACTATACTTTAAGCACGCCCAGGCAGGCCTTCCTTTAAGCTCGTTCAGCCTCTCCTGGACCTTTTCCTTTCCCTTTGGGCATGTTCTCCAGCTTGTGCTCCGTCTTCTTGCTGTGGGAAAATGTGCATTCATTCCCTTTTACGCATCCCTTCGCTGCCTTGAAGTGATACCAACATGGGTTATCTTTACCTCCGCCCGGACTCTTGCCTCTGTCGCTGGCACCGTCGGACTTGCCGTTCTTGCCAGCGTGACCCTTTGCTTTGGCCTTTGGGAGTACAGGAGCAGCATCAGGTCCACTGGGCCTTTGCCACCCTGGTTCTCCTGTTTGCCAGTAGCCGGGGCTGCATCTCTGCCGCCCGACTTCATCATTGACTTGACCGATTTCTCCTTCATGTCAAGCATCAGGTCCTCCCGATCCGCCTTAATTTGATGGTCGATCAGTGCCAGCAAGAATTCGTACGTCTTTTGAGGATGCTTGTCCGGCAACCTATGATAGGAGTTGAGGCCGAACTCCATCTTCTTGCTCCCTTTGATCTTCCTGTAGAGAATATCTCTGAGAGCCAGCTTGCTGGGTCTATCTTCGCTCCTCATCTTTAGCAACAAATCATACCACTTGTTCCTGAATATAACCAAATTCTTGTCTCCAGGAAAGTCAAGGTTGAATAGGTGCTCGATGTGGTAGACAAGGTCCGTTCGATCAGACGTCCTGAATGATTGCATAACCAATGCCACCAACTCTCGTCCCTTCACGATCACCCCTTGTTGATGTCGTAGTTCCGAATGTCGCGTAGCGTCGAGGTACACGTCTTTGGCTTCGTCAGGTGCTTGTTTTAACATGTTCTGCATGCCCATGGCCATTTTGATATCTATCGTAGCGAATCTGTCGCCGCCGGAGTCGCTCAGCAGATTTAGGTCTGGGTTTAACCCAAGAGCCTGTTCCAACCATTTCGTCCATGTGTCAGTATCTGGATCTGCGCATGCGCTCAGAACATTCATCAGCAATTGCATCTTCCAGTTATCGAGTTGATGGATCTTTGGCCAAGCAGGAATAGACACCCTCTCGGCTTCTTTCCTCGAAATCCTCGGTCTTTCGCTCTTGATTTCCCGATCATCCCTCGATCTTCTGCGCCTCCTCCGTGTCCGATTGTCATCTTCTTCCTCTTCTTCTTCCTCGTCCTCTTCATCCTCTTCGTCGTCGTCATCCTCGTCCTCATCATCGGGTGGATCATCCGGAGGTCCTCCTCCGCCACCTGTGAGGCTCAACTGACGTCGCCCTGCCCCTTGTCTATTTCCATTGGGCGAGAATCCACCGTAATCCAATGGGGGTGTAGTACCGTTGTTTCCCCCTCCATCACCACTACCACCAGTCGTAGTAGCGGATTGTGGGACATGCCCAACAACCCCTTGCATCTGGGATAGGTGTACATTGATCATTGGATCACCAAAAGACGGAAAGAGAATCGAACCTGGCATTAGTGACGAATTAGATGATGATGACGGGAATAACCCAGTCACCCGCTTGTCTACCCTAGTCGAATTAGCTTGGGGTCCTCCCTCAGCGCGTTTCACTACTGCTCGTTCACGATGTCCATCTTTACTGCTAGAGGCTTCCTGTGTTTCCAGCTTCTTGAGTGCTCGTAGTTCCTCATTGTCAGCATCGCGTTGACGAACAAAACTCTCTTCTTGCTTGAGCGTCGCCTCCCGATCCTTCAGTTGTCCCTGAAGTTCACGCATCTCCTCGAGGTACTCATCATACACTCCTTTAGCTGTCAATCTCCAGTACTCGGCCTCCTTCGACTTCTCGTCCATCGTGCACCGCTCTTCTTGTTTTGCTTCTCTGACCTGGGCTAACTCCAAGATCGCATCTTGACGATGACTACCCTCGATAGCAATCATCTGGTCCTTCTTCAACACGTCGGATTCATACTGTTTGACGATCTCTTCCTTCTCGCGAAGTAAGCACTCTGCTCTCTTCGATTCTTGCTCCGCGAATGTTGTAACGTCGTTCAGTCTCGCCATCAGCTGCTCCCTGGAGTCCTCCATAGAGTACGTCTCGGGGCGTTTGACGAGTGCATGCTCCAACTGTGATTTTAGACTTTGGACCATCTCCTCCTCGTTGAACTTCTCGATAGATGTAGACGATTCAATACCTCTGATCTGTTGCTGATAAACTGATATTTGTTGTGAAGCCTCACGGTGTATCTGATTTGCATGTATAGCTGATTCCTGCGCGGCCGACTTCTCGCTTGCCATGTAGGATTTCATCACTGCAATCTCCCGTTTCTGCTCCATAATAGTTCCTTCAGCTTGTCTCATCTGTTGTATTATAACGTTCGACTCCATGTCTTTCTTTTCCCCGTGCTGATATGCGTTCATTTCCACCTTGCGCATCTGTTGGGCTTCCTCCTCAAACTTGCGCCATGCCTCAGCCATGTGGTGTTGGTGGTGACTCACAAGATGTCCCGATTGCCTGCTGGCAATCTCGCATCGTCTCTCCAGCTCCCGGATCCGGATGGTGCTCCCATAGTCTTCTTGATGAAGATTTGCCATTGCTGCCGACATTTCATCAAGTGTCTTTTGGTATTCCCCGATCTCCATCTCCATCTTGTTCTTTTCCTTAATCGCGGCGCGAAACTCTGCACTGGTGGGTGATTTAGATCTCCCACCTTTTGATGTTGACCTCACGCCCTTCTGCGACGTCCGTGGTGTCGCAGGCGAAGATGATGATCTTCTCGGCGGGGATTCTCTTTGCTTCGACTCCTGACGAAAATCCATCTGCTTCCATGATCTTGTAGGAGTGGATATGTCGCTGAATAGCGCGGATCCTCCGCTCCCAGGTTCATCCTGTAAATCTGCGACCAAATCCATCACCGCAGGAAGAGCCATCAATCCATTGGATCCCTCTGAGCTGCCGTTCCCACAAGTTGCAGTACTTGGGCTCGCTGAAGATGCCATTGTACCGTGTAGGTTATTGTTCCTTTATTGTCCCTGTACCCGCAATAAACCAGCCGTCTCTCTGTCCAGTGTAGAGCTTGTCGTTACGGCTGATAACCTGTCAAGAGACGGCAAGGTGACGTCCCGTGGGACGCTGTCCACCGAACCCTCCAGCTGTAAATACCAACCACGTAGAAAGGTGTATACGGTCAAACCGTTATAGCCGAACCCGTGTAACTGTTCTAAGGGAGAAGAAATAATAGTTACAACAGTGGTCCTGACAAATGCAGCACAAGCGAAGTGTTTTCCGCTCTCAATTGCCGATCACGTATGAACGCAGCTTCACATAAGATCTTGAACCTCACTTGTGACTTGAGCCAAATGGCAATCAATGGAACCTTGTAAGCAACACAAACACGGACCTCAGAACTGCTTCCCAATTTAGGCACGGGGCCAGGAGGGTTTTAACAACTTCCCTCCACTTGAGATACCATAGATACCCTACGTTTCTCCGTGATGTCTCCTGTTTCATGTGTCTCTTTGGTATTTTCCATTGTTGCATCCCTTTTTGTCTTTCCCTGCAAACACATTACAAAAAATCCCTGGCGGAAGCCGCGCGGCTTGCCAGGCATGTGCTGGGCCAAGTTCAGCATGAGCTTCTGAAACTTGTCCTTCTGCAAAGTGCCCCTCAGTCGCAAGGCTTTCGCGCGCAGCCGAAATGAACAGGGTCCCCCTCCCTTTCTGTGGAAACTGAGCCAAGGTCACGGGGGAACCCTATGCCACGTAAATGTTTTTTTCTTATTTGTATTTCTGGGTTTTCCGAGCTTGAAAGTAATTGAAACACATCACTTGGTGGAAGGGAACTACCCTGTTGGTTTTGAAAGGGAAACGAGAGCCAATCATCTGTGGAGGCCAACTGTTCAACTTGAACAAACACAGCGAAAAAGCAACGGGGAGCGATTCCGAAGATGATGGTAGTCTTCCAAGACCCTGTTCTCAGGACGAACATCGGAAAGCCGTTCAGCGTCAAAACTTCATTGAGCTTGGATGCTCTTGCGGAATTGGGAGGGTTTTGCCCGAAGACCGCTTTTACATGGCGAGAACAAGAGAACGCCTCAAACCAATTGGGTGCTTCTAAAAAAAGGAATTCGCTGTGTTAAACAATTGTCTTCTTTTTGGCATCTCCTTAAATACGAAACAAACTCTCTTTTGCATCCCAGGGGCTCGTCCACGCCCAGGGAACTGAAGATTTCAGCCACCTGGTCTGTGGAAAAATACCTCAGCATTGATTCTGGCAGCGGAGACCTGGTTGTAGGCTTTAGGGGTAAGGGATACCCAGCCATGTATCCTCGTATATACTTCAAGAAAAAATCGGTTGGATCTGAGGGAAATTCACGTGAAACCATGTGGCTCCATTCTAGGTACTGCTTGTGGGTCCCTGGGTGCGCCCTCATGGAGGTGGGTTCAAGGAAGGCCAAGGTTGGCACTGCTATTGGGAAATGGAAGCCAATTACCCCGGCACGAGACCCCAAACAGTGATAGGCGGCGGTCACACGCTGCAGAGTATTGTGCGGGCTGCGCCGCAAAACGGCGGTTGTTGTCAGGAAGCTGCAACATCATTTTGCGGTATTTGCGCGCACATTCACAAAGACAAGGACACGGCCTGGAACAGACACGCGCAAGAGAATGCAGCAGACACGTGTCGAAGCCAGCGCCATGGTCGTGTGTGCGTGTGCGTGTGCGTGTGCGTGTGCGTGTGCGTGTGCGTGTGCGTGTGCGTGTGCGTGTGCGTGTGCGTGTGCGTGTGCGTGTGCGTGTGCGTGTGCGTGTGCGTGTGCGTGTGCGTGTGCGTGTGCGTGTGCGTGTGCGTGTGCGTGTGTGCGTGTGCGTGTGCGTGTGCGTGTGCGTGTGCGTGCGCGTGTGCGTGTGTGTGTGTGTGTGTGTGTGTGTGTGTGTGTGTGTGTGTGTGTGTGTGTGTGTGTGTGTGTGTGTGTGTGTGTGTGGTAGTGTGTGTGTGTGTGTGTGTGTGTGTGTGTGTGTGTGTGTGTGTGTGTGTGTGTGTGTGTGTGTGTGTGTGCGTGTGTGTGTGTGTGTGTGTGTGTGTGTGTGTGTGTGTGTGTGTGTGTGTGTGTGTGTGTCTGTGTGTGTGTGTGTGTGTGTGTGTGTGTGTGTGTGCGTGTGTGTGTGTGTGTGTAAGCATCACTACAAAAGGCAAGATCTGTGTGTTTGTTTCACCAGGGTGCCTGAGTTAGTGAGTTAGCTAGCTAGGTAGCTTCTTCCTTTGTTCTCGATTGTGGCGCTGTTGCTGTTGCTGTAGCTGTTGCTGTTTTTGGGTGTTGTTGTTCAGAGTACCATCGAGACGCCGTCGCAGCACAGAAGCACCATCCAAGCATGCCCAAAGAAAGGGAAACAAGCTCGCGCGGACAGGGCGGGAATCGAGCCCGGGACCTTTCGCCGGAAACCCGTGCCGCCAGACCACGAGACAAAACCCCCACGGTCCCCGGAGCCGCCAAAAAAGCAAAAAACATCGAGTTTGTGCGAGCCTGCGCAGTCGAAACGACACCTTCACTTTGTGCGAGCCTGTGCGAGCCTGCGCAGTCGAAACGCACTTCGACATCAAGCAAGAGCACGAATCTGCGGTACATACCACGCAAAACGCTCGCGGACAGAAGTCGCCAACTCACTTTGTGCGAGCCTGCGCAGTCGAAACGCACTTTGACATCAAGCAAGAGCACGAATCTGCGGCACATACCACGCAAAACGCTCGCGGACAGAAGTCGCCAACTCACTTTGTGCGAGCCTGCGCAGTCGAAACGCACTTCGACATCAAACAAGAGCACGAATCTGCGGCAAATACCACGCAAAACGCTCGCGGCCAGAGTGGGCACCTCAATCTGGCACCAAGGCCTTTTCTCTTACCGTAAGAACCCCTTAGTGTAGACACACTGTTTGGGGAAAAAAAGCCACGAGGGAACCAACTCGTTGATTGGTGCGAAAGCCTCGCTCAAGTCTGGTGGGTCTGTCTCCAAATGATGGAACCACTCAATGGTGGGCTCGTTTCAGTTCCCTTCAACCAGCAAACGCAATGAGCTGCGAAGGTCAACATCATCCATACTGGGTGTGCTGCAGGATGTCTAACTGATAGGACGTCCCCAAAGTGGGGAGTCCACATGCAAAGCTGTCAGCATTGTTGCACCGGCACAAGCAGCATGTCCAGCTAGCTATCGGCCCAAGAGCGCATTGGCTCGTTGGCGCCGATCGCCACTAAAAGACACACACTTTGAGTGGCAAAATCTGCTGTAAACTCGTTGCCAAGATACGGTCGGGTTTCCTGTTGAACCAAAAAAGGCTCCCCAACCTTCAACATGCCGGGGTGTCCTGTTTCTGCCAAACCCTCATTTGGATCCAACACGAACCACCTGTAACCTTGCAATTTGTGGGTCCCATTCTTATTCTTCGAAGGATCACCCCACAGGAAGCTGACTTCAACATTGACAACCAATACGTCATGGGGAACTCACTCTACGGAAGCGTGTGTGTGTGTGTGTGTCTTTTTTCGTGAAGCTTTCTGGGATTAGACGGCATGGTTGTTCACGAAACTAGTGACAAGGAGTCCTGTTCAAGGAGCCATGACCATGGCCGGCGGGAGGCATGCATGGGTGATTGGGCGTGTATTGTTTAAGGTTACCCTTTGGGGTTGAATAAAGAGAAACCAAAGGGAAATCGCTGGGGCTCCACCCATGTAGACACAAAACCTTTTTGGGTGTATCTGCGAATTGGCAATCGGACCGCTTCCTCGGGTTGGCTTCTTCAAACAACAGCCCAAAGGGGACCTTGTTGATTGCCTCCCTGTTTGGTTGTACTTCACTTTCCGTACAACAATTGAACAAGTGACCTTTTGCATGGGGTCAGGGAAGTTCTCGTTAAGAAGCAACCCAAAGGCAGAGCTAAACCCCAAAACACGAGTGTTGCCCTTTGCTTTCCCCCTTGAAACAACCTTCAAAACGACACCCTTACAAAACAATTCACACATGACAGGAAGCCAAGGCCAAAGTCATGGTTGTCTAACTGTTCGTTGTTTCGTCCATGAGTCCCAAAAATGGTTGAGTTCCATTTGGCTTCCCTTCACAATCAGCCAGCAAAAGGCTGTAGAACCTCGGAAACACATCAACCTGATATCAATGCAGCGAGCAAAGCCTAAAAGCAAAGCAGGGTACCCTCTCTCCCACGAACATGGCACCTGATAGGGGTCCCTCCAAGAGGAAGCGCATCTTAGTGGGAGAGAGACACGCATGGGGGTTGATCAAACAAATCCTTTACATAGGATGTCTATTTGGGGGGGGGGGGTTTCCCACTACGATCTTTCCATAGGAAAAAAAACAAACGCTAAACCCGCGGTCCAAAAACCTGGGGTGGGGGGGGGAGGGAGTTGGGCCCTTGTTGGGATGGCCCAGGTTGACCCCAAGCCCTCCGTGCCGTTGAGCCCAGGCGCTGGCCCAGTTTCCGGAAACCTCTTTGGATCTCCGGCGCGGAGATGTCCCCAGACTTGTCCTGTCGCTCGACGTCGCGGCGCGAAAGGTCCGAAGAGGTTTCTGGGTCCACCAGAAGGGGTCCTTTGGACATTTATCCGGCTACGCCCCAAAAAAAACTGGTTTGGATTGTTGGTGGTAAAAAAAATGGTGGGTTGGATTTGGATGTGAGGCGCTGGTTCTTTTAGAGGGTTAATGAGAAACCACCCTTAACCACCAAACCACCAATGAGAGGGAAGCTGAATTTAGGTGGGGGTTCATGTCCACCAAGCACTGTTGAGATGGTTTCTCGTTAACACTCATTGCCATATGATCGATCATGAATGAACGCCTTACCCCTCCTTGCCCCGTGCAACGTGGCCTTTCTGCATCAACCAAACCCGAACTGGTCGGTTGGAGATTGAAGAGTACCTTTCTGGGAGGACACCACTCTCAGCTCCGGAGCCGCGACTCACATGTAAGATAGAGAGCCGTATGTCTCGGTCCATGTCGAACATCCGGAAGACCATGTCGACGCAGAGCGTAGGGTCCAAATACTTGCCTCAGCGCTGAAATGCTTCAGGATCAGAGGCTTCATGCGCATGGCTGTGGGAAAGACTGCTGCATGTACGAAATTTGGGGATGGCCCGACTACTTTGTAACTTCAAGGGATTCCCGCGGTATCTAAGTGGCTCGAGCCCCTCATTGGAAGTTGGGGAAAGTTGGTACACCAACTTGCATATGTCAATGCCTCAGCCAATGTGCAAAAGTGATGAGTGAGATGCTCAATTTACAACGTGTCCAAATCCTCAACCAAGAAACCTCCCTTGAAGATGATGTTAAAAAAATACAGATAGACTGAATTATGAGGCCATCAGTGCCGCAAGGTCACAACAACATCCCCCTACTCCAGGTGGAAAACCAGTTCAACCCCCCAGCCCCCCTACATGATTTCCCTTGTGCCTACTGAAACCCTTTTGGGCCCGGCATGAATGGTGGACATCGGTTTTGATTTGGTGTTGCGACAGGACCTGTGCCAAGGGTCATCATTGAATGATGTGAAAACCGCCATGGTCGAAAGGCCCCCCGCTCAAAAAGAGGGACCTTCAACTTCCGAAGGCTATTCTTCGCAAGAAACCAGTGGCCCGGATCCCATCAAGAAGGTAACCGGGGAAAACCATCCATGGCGTGCGGGAAATCCTGCCTCTGGTGGCTGGATGGGGGTGTTCAAGTGGGTCAAACGAAGCCTTGTGTGCGAACGTGGAGCTGCCAATTCGATCATTCCAAGACCTGAACTCTGCAACCCCCACACAAATTGAACAGAACCAAGCAACCAAAGAACCAACACCATGTCAATAACAATGAAGTAAAGTCATGGCCCCCAAGTAAGGAGGATTCATGAGCGCTCGTCAGCGACGTCTTGAGAGCAGGTTTGTGCGTTGAGCGCCGCGGCTTGTGGAACTTTCAGGCTCCTCTGGGGCCACTTCAGCCGCACCTGACGCACTTCCGACAGGGTCGCCTTCCATGGTGACGGTCCTTCTTCCCCCCAAACCAAAAGTGGCTGAACACCAAAAGTGGCTGAACACCAACTCGTGGCGAAAGGTGGTTGATTTTGGCCCCGTACTTGGTGAAGCTGAACACCACAAGTGTGTGATTTGGTCCATTCTTGGTGAAGCTGAACACCAAAAAAATGACCGATGAGATCCCAGAAGAAGGGCTGGCTTAGGGGTCATGACCACTGAGACAGGACCCCGTCAGGCGACTCACTTCCAAGCCTCCGAATTACCTTGGGCTTTGGGTTGTTTCTTCATTGAGACGAATTTGGCAAATGCTTCTGCGCCTTCCAAGTGTAGTTCACTCATGGAGATATGCCAATGGTGTCCAGGAAGGATTTGGCAAAAGGACACCTCTGAGCCCAGTTGGCTGGCCTCTTCAGTCTCTAAACTTCAGACTTGCTGTGCCTGGTGTTTGCACTATCTTAGTCTAGGGCCAACAGGGTGTCCAGCCAGACAGCTCAGCAAGCAATTGGTCCCTTGTGTGGTGTCCATGAGGAAACCATACGTAGGGGAAATACGGCCAAATCAGGCTTGTTAAGACCTTGCAGATCTTTGGGGGGGGAAGCGCGGCAGGCCCTGATGTTCTCCGAAGCAAACAACTAATTATGTGTCGAATCATCCACGGTACCAGTCAGTACCTTCACACCATAGAACGCCTCCCTGAACTTCGAAACATGGACCAGGGTTGCAGGTGTGCTCCAAAGTCCGATTGATCCGCAGGGCACATCGGGTGAAGGAAAGCCAAACGAAACTCTTCGGTTTCTTTCAGAAACGACTCGCGGTTGTGATTTGGGGCTGCTTAAGGGCAATGTCTGAAAACAGTTCAATGGGCGCGGACGAAAGAACCACTGTTCCCCGACCTGGAAGGAATAAAAGGTAGCACCAGGAGAAGCTTTAAGACACCTCGCACATAAGGAAGCGTATTAGGAACACATACATCAAAAGGTCCAGTGCACTTTGCACGCTGTCAAAGTCAAACTGCTTGGATTCGCGAGTGTCTTTCAGCGATGTGCCGAAGCTTTTTTGCTATGCTTTGCCCCAATGCGCCTGCGAAGAACTTGCCAAAGGCCTGTCGTGAGCGGCCGAGTTGCTGCTCGCGTGGTGACACTCCCCAACCACTTGATAGAATCTGAAACAACGCAAAGAGCGCCGCAAAAGGTGTTTGAGTTTGGTTCAATGATAGATGCACATTTGTGCAACGATTCTGGTCATGTAGTGCAGCTGCAAAGTCCCGATGTTTGTCTGTTGGTGGGGTGTCCAATTTCAAGGCAACAACAAATGGAACACGGGCATTTTTAGGGTTTTCTCAGTTGGTGACAAACAGAAACAGCGCCACTTGAGAGAAAAGTCGTTCGTGCGCCAGTTCGACCAGGTCGTGTCGCAGCTACAAAAGGATGCAAGACCACAGCAACCCCACGAGGGGGACCTTTTCCCGTCCAGGCCAACTTGTCCCCAGGGACGCCAAAATGCAACACATTTCAACATCAACCACCAAAGCCTCTTTCCAGCAAACAGCTTGGCTCGACAAAGACATGTGTAAAATGCATCCGCGCCCTAAACCAGCTAAAGCCTGGCTCCCTTGATTATCTATATATATATATGGTACCCCCCCCCCAAAAAAGAACAACACCTGTTTGCAGAATTCACTGGTACTTCCAGTTTGCCCCTTTGGGGGGGGCCCTGTTGTGTCTTCTTTTTTGCTCAGGGGGGGGGGGGGGGGAACCAGTTCCCCGGCCTTCATGGAGCCCCGGCGCACACCCGTGGTGAGCTCCGCAGCCTGCGCTTGGAGCGCTGGGCTCGGTGTCAGGGCTCCGAGAAAAGTTTGGCCGAGAAGCCGAAGGAAAAACCTGCGGCGACACTTCGACTTTTTGGCTTGCATTTCTTTTGTGGCCCGAAGCGAGGGAGGAACCTTTGGCGATGATTGCACTTCGATCATCTTCTAGCTTGCAGCTTTGTGGAACTATCACTTGAGTTTGTCCATGCGTAGCTGCCAGCAAATTGGGTAGTGGGCGTGGCCAGAGTCCCTTTTGATGAATTGCTGCCTGGCAGTCTGAAGGCTTTCTGTGAAATGCCAAAGCAGCAAGGATTTTCCAGCGCTTGACCGCCGTCATGGGCGTTGGTCGAAATTAGTTTGTCTTTTTTTGGCCTTCCGGCGCCCTTTCGCGAAACTTACGCTTTCTTTCGCGCCCACAGTGGGGCGCACATGGTCGACAACCCTCCGTCGACAACACCACTAAAGCCATGCGTCAAAAGCCTGCTTTGGGAACCAACAACCCAGCCCGAATGTTATTTTCCAAGCCTAAAACAGGTTTTGGGGCGCTAGTCTGTGTATTCTCTCATTTGAACACGTTTGGACACTTTTGGCTCCTGCAAACCAACCCAACACCTGCGCAAATGTTATTTTCCAGTGCCCAAAACAGGTTTTGGAGGTGCCTGGTCGGAAAAGACTCGTTTGGACACTTTCGGCCCCTTGGCCTGCAAACCAACCCGGAACCTGCCCAAATGTTATTTTCCAGCCCAAAACAGGTTTTGGGGGGGCGCTGGTCTGTATTCTCACGGAAAAAACCTGGCCTGCAAACCAACCCAACACCTGCCCAAATATTATTTTCCAGTGCCCAAAACAGGTTTTGGGGGGACCTGGTCTGTATTCTCACGGAAAAAACTAATTTGAGACACCTGCAAAACCTGCCCAAATGTTATTTTCCAGCGCCAAAACAAGTTTTGGTGGCACCCTCAAGGAAAAGACACATTTGATGCCCTGCTGCAAACCAACCCAGAACCTGCCCAAATGTTATTTTCCAGTGCCGAAAACAGGGTTTGGGGACTCCCTATTCTGTACCCTCAACGAAAAGACTGATTTGGACAACTTTCCGCTGCTTGGCCTGCAAACCAACCCAAAACCTGCCCAAATGTTATTTTCCAGTGCCCAAAACGGGTTTTGGCGCCTTCTCAAGGAAAAGGCTCATTTGGACACGCTCGGCCCTTTTGCCTGCAAGCCAACACCTGCCCAAATGTTTTTTTGCAACGCCCAAAACTGCACCCTCAAGGAAAAGACTCATTTTGACACTTTCGGCCCCTTGGCCTGCAAACCAACCCAGAACCTGCCCAAATGTTTTTTTCCAGTGCCGAAAACACAAGGAAAGACTAACCTGCCCAAATGTTATTTTCCAATGCCAAAAACCAGGTTTTGGGGGTGCCCTGGTTTGCATCTTGTGGACCAACCCCAAAACAGGCCCAAATGTTATTTGGCATTGGCCGAACTAGCTTTTGGGCAACCCCCAACAACGGCATACCAACATGCGCACATATGGCATAAACAACAGTCCAAAAGCTATTCACACCATTCAGAGTGCTAAATCAGCATCCTGAACCATCATTGTGGCCAGCCCTTTCGCCAAACCTTCCGGCGCCCACTCGCGACCTTTCGCGCGCGCAGCGCCAGAACACATGAATATGCTCCTTACTAAACTTTTACACATGGGTTTTTGACCGTCGCCCATTTGTTGCTGGAGCTTTTGAAGCATCTGCTTGCCAAAGGCTAACTTCGCATGTGAGAGATGCATCTCGGCAATTCTCCGGGGCCAGCGGCTTGGTCTCCACGAAGTTTCGTGGGCTCGCGAGCTGGTTCCTAGATCCAAACGGGTGGGTTCCGTGTCCCCTTTGATCAGCCCTTTAGTGGGAGATGCTGCTCTGTACCCAAAATGGAACCCGCAAGGACCTCCAGTCGAGTATGGCAGGGTGTTGCCGGAGGTTGATGGTCCAAAAGGTACTGTTTCACATTGACCTCCAAGGCAAGTTTCACGTCCTCTCTGTTGCATGCCGACTTCGCTTGACTTGTCCTGAAACCTTCCCACATTGACGGTACACCTCCATACAATGGGTGCCAAAGGTGGAACTTGAGGCCCAAGCTCTCCTTTCTTCATGTCAACTTCTGACTGATCCAAAGAGCCGTGCTCAGTGTCCTTACAGTAAACATGATGTTGTGGAGGGCACTCTCATTGGTCTTGCTTTCGGAAATCGATGTGCAAACGGACTTCACTTCGGTTGAACAATCCATGGCGACGTGCGACCGGACCTCTTCACCCTGCTTCTTCTTGATGATCCCGGCCAAGTGCTTGAAAGCCTAGCCCACACACACACACACAGCCAAATGACTGATGTTCATGCTTTTGGTTTCAACCAACATTAAAGCAATGCGGGGTTGTATCCATCATTGTTGCCTAAGGGGTTGAATCATCTAAATTGTGTCAAACATTATGTTGATGGCCCCAATTCGCATCAGGGGCTGGATTCCTTTCTTCTTCCTGGAGTGGGGCGTTTGGGCAAGAGATTCGGCGACCTCCGGCCCTGCTGACCGCTTGTCGGACGAAGCTCTTGCGAGGCATCCGGGTCAGCCCACCAGTCGCTGGGTCAACTCCATCCAGGGGGCTTGGGCCGAACAGGAACCCCAACTCGCATGCGGCCCTCCCAGACTGGACTCACGGGTCTTTGATTTCCCGCACAAGCTCAAATCCCATTGGAGGTTCAACAACAAGAGTTTCCCGCAAGATCTTATCGGTCTTTTGGATCAATCCACCAGCCATGCACCATTATTTTGTTCCACATGAGCCACGGTCGACATTTGAGAAACAAAAAGAAGTAAAAACAACTACTGAGTCGCCTGTCAAAAACTACTGCACATGTTGACCGAACCTGGTAATTAACTTGCTTGTTGCCGCTGCTGCTTTGCCCTATCTATCACTGTCACATAAACACACATGGAGGCTTAGTCCTGTTTGAGCAATGGACAGGAATAGGGTTTGCTGTTGAAACTGGCAGCAAGCTAGGACTACTCGAACAAATCCCGGTTAAACGGTAGCCACCAAGAAGACGCCAACAAATAACAGTGAAATACAGTTTGGGTGTTGAACAAGTCATCCACGCATTTGGAGAAAATGATGCCTCTAACAACCAGCATATGAGCAAACCGTTGTTAATGTTGCCACTATAAACCGGTAGACCACCCAAAGCACATACCCATCAGCCTAAACCGACAAGAAGCGGTCCAAGCAAGGCCGATCTTCATATAAGCGCCACGACAAAAGGACTTGCTCAACAAGGACACGGAGAAACTGGGTTGCGCCAAATGTTTGTGGGAAACTCGGGCTTGCGCCTCATGTCCTCCGCAAACAAACAGCCAATGACCAATGTCATATTGACCGCTGCTCATATCAGTTTACGTTTTGTTGGGGGAACACTGTTCTGGCAACTTAAAGGGAACCAAATGAACCCCCCCAAGCGTCACCCACCAATTTGGGGGTCCAAATTTCATTTTTCACGCATACTAAAGTAGCCTGACTCTTGGGAAGATCCGCGAGTTCGCCCCTTTGGCCGCCTCAAACTTGCGGTCCCTGGATTGCTCCATCTGCAGTAGGAAGGAGACCAGGCCATACTCGAAGACGCACATCAGTGAGAGCCTCGGCCAGGCTGCGCGTCCGATAAACATGTCCCATCTCCCAAGAAAGAGAAGCACACCTTTTTAGAAGGCCTTGGAAAGGAAACCAAACGGATCCCACCAATTTGACTTTTGGTGGTTCCCATAATATGCTGATACAAACCTAGAAAAATATGCGCGACAAAACAAACATGTCTTGTGGCAGCCACCACCAAGCATGAACAAACCGACTCACGAAACATGCCAATAACAGTGAAACAATGGTTTGATGCCCGTGGATTCAATACTTGTTCAGAACCCCAGCATGGGAACCCCTAGAGTTGTAAGACCACCAAAGAACTGGCCTTTGAGGAAGACCCTTCCAAATGAAACAATGATGGCGAGCCACAATTCAATCCAGAGGGGTCTTCCCCAAGGTTGTTGCTCCGAGCTAATTCGAAATCGTTCTTCGCACAAGTAACACAAGACTTCCTGTGTTGCCTCTCTGGGTTGGAGCATTTGACGAACCTAAAACGGATCCACATTCTGCTACTTGGCCAAGAAATATTTGTCATTTTCCAAACAGGTCCCAATGTCTCGGTCAAAGCAAAAAAGCAACCAAGGGTGAACAAAAACGCGTACAGGTATACTGTGAACTGTTCAAATGTAATATGTGCCAAGGGCCCAATCGTGCACTTGTTGGGAAAGAAATGGATGCAACCCACACAGATTGTGGGACGTATTGGGGGGGGGTGCACTTCACAACGTGGCAAGGGCCTTCTGCTTGATCTGAGAGAGCAGAATTGGACAGCCAACCAGAGTCATAGATGGGTTGCACCAGGGAATAGGAGCCATTCCAGGCAAGACCCCTCGCAAGTGAACTGCTTGGATTGAAGGGAAAGTCCTGGCGGAAAGGCCTTGCCTTAGCTTAGCCCAGCCAAGCCACGTTTTCGACCAGAGGAGGAAGCTGGTCAACCAGGTGAGGTAGTTCAAAGGAGGCCTCGGCCGCGCGATCGAAAACGAATCTCGGACCTCGTTCCCAGGACTGCACTAGGTTGCAAATGACCCACAAAACGCAGGGCGGGTAAAGGCCGGGGTCAAAACAAGGCCCACTTTTTTCTTGTGACACATGCTCTTCATTTGAAAAGATCTGAGCACACTCTCAAGTTGGCTTGAATCACGCGAAGTCCATGTGTCTGACAAGGGGCCCGGCCCAAACCAAAGCCTTGGCTTCCTGTGGGCTTCCCTGAAGACATCAGAAAATTGGCTTCCTATGTTGCGACAAATCCCCATCTCGCCAAATATCCTGCCAACTCCATAAGATTTTCCGGCCGATTTGTGAGGCGCAGGACCCACCGGCTGTGGAAAAAAGACATGAGAGTCGCGTTTCCGAGTGAGGGCGTATGGCATCCAAGACCACGCTATGACTGGACTCGTCGAAAATGACTGATTCCGTTGGTGTCAAAGAAAGTCCACAGCCATGCAAGCCGCAAAGGAAAATGAAGGATCCCTTGCACCCCACTTGAGAAGCTTTGGACTCAACTTTCTTTATGCTTTCCCGATTGGCTCTAGAGGGAAATGGTCATGACTGGTAAATATAAGTTCTTTGGTGGCACCGAAACTAGAAATGGAAGACTCAGTCACTCCCACGGAGCTCAAACTTACCCACGGCCTCCAACGGGGCACTCACATCTGACGCCGGTCATTCATTCCCGCGAGGTTCTCTCAAGAGGGCTCAAAGTGAACCAGGCTCCAACAAGTCCGAAACCAGTACAAGACGTAAAAAAAGAAGAAGAAACAAAAGGTAAACCGGTGCATAGCAATTCATGCGCCCGGTCCGAGCGTGGCCAAAAAATGGTCCGGCCGCCCCAAAGCCCGAAGCCGAGCAGCAGCCGCGATGTCACCTCAGTAGTCAGGGGCCGTCCCCACTACAAGGAAATCGGGTCTGTGTGCGGTCAAATATGAACAGAATCCAAGAAGCAAAAAGTGAAGATAATGATGTTACTATGAACCATATAAACAAAGTAACATGAATCCAATATGAACGTGAAGTAACATGATGTAACCACTCCGGCCAAAACTACTTTTTGCTCGTAGCTTCCTGCTCTTGACCAGCGCCTTTCGAACTTTCGGGTGCGCCTCTTTTGAGGGTACCCTTTTTGGGTTTGGTGTAGAAGGAAACAAAAGGAACCGGCTGCTTTCAAGGGGGTTCCCCTTTGAGACCAGCCGCTTTGGCGTGCCGAGTCGCGCCAGTTTCCAGGTTCAGGATGATGAGGACCGGGATGACGGCGATGGCAACTCTCGCCGGTGCCACCGTCCGGTTGATAAACCTGGCCGTGAATTCAACTGAGCGCATTGCTCACATGGACAAAACAACAAGAACAAACAAGATTGGTGATGATACATCACAACAACTCGACTCAAACAGAGACCCCCTCGCTGCAATGGCCAACATTCCTGCTGGCTTTCGGGCGTTCAATGGTGTACAAAAGAGTGGGATTGCTGTATCACAATGCACTGCCCGCATCGGCCAGTGTTCTGTGCCACTTTGGGCAAATAATGCGAGCGCACCGATTGGGGGGGGGGGTAATTACAACGAGCTCCACCCATGATGAAGATCCCGTGGGAAGTCCTTGTTTCCGTCTTGTGAAGTCTAGTAAGTTGCAGCATCAGTGAACATCTTGATAGTACATGATGCTATACAACTATACAAATGCTAAACAGGCGGCTGGTCAACTTTCCCAACCGTCAGGGGAAAACAGGAGTGACAACCCCTGGCTGATTTACAGGGAGGTGTCCCAGAAAGGGAGTTCTTCACTCTGGGGAACACCTCCGCCGTGTCTACCCACCAGATCGATTTCTCCGGGGGTCGACACCGCTACTTAGGATCTGGGAATGAAAGGACAACAGCTTTGTAGAAATCTGACTTAACATCGACCAACGTGGCAAGCAGAGCCTGCCAAAAAAGAAAAGAAATCTCGCCTAGCACGAGAGCGACCAAACCCTTGCTTCGGGCGTAAATATTATGTGATCTACATGTCGTATACCTCGCATTGAAGCAAAACCCAGCACATGATCATGTCGAAGCAAAGGTGAAACCATCGGTCGAACAAAAACCATCCCCCGCTCAGAAACACAAAACGATGGACCACGGCATGACTTCACTCACTCAGAGCCGGGCAATCCAGACCAGCTGACCAAGCAAAACCTCAGAGCACGCAGCCTCCAGCTTCAATTGATTTCTGTGTCACCCGGAAGGTGGATGTCTGTGTGCCGGTGCAAGTTTCGGGCAGACACTAAAATATTGTTCTTCAAACATCCATGAACAAAAGGCTCACTGTTTCTTCCAGGGCAACTCATTTGACAACATTCTGAACACTTCCTTGCCCCGGGTCAACACCATGTGGAAAAAATGAAAATAGCCATTCGGAGTTCTAGGGTACATGGTACATGCTCCATGCCTCTCGCTCAGGGTTGCTCCAAACACCTGATCCGCACAAGCGTAGAAAGTTGGTCAATGAAGGAATACCAAAACAGCCCAAACCAATTTTCTTTTTTTGGGTCATCTTTTGTCAGTTTCACTTCGTTTCGAGCCGTTGTTTGAAGGTTCAGATTCTCACCTGCACTCTTTGGAGGTCTGGCCTCTTCTTGAGTTGGGGGGGGCCACTGCCCCCACGAAACAATAATCAGCCACACCCACATGATATTATATTCATGAATCTGTGGTCAACACTATGGGCCTGACAGGTCTTGTGGTCTGTCGAAATCCGTGGCAACATGGGACGGCGTCTTCGGGCGTTCAAGTACAGTGCTTTGATTTGCGGATGCCGAATCGGTGGATGCTCACATGGTTGAATTGTTTGTTCATGGTCCCAGACCTCCAGTGGATGTCCACGGCAAAAAGAAGGCCACCCCTTTCGTGGCTTGATTTCAAAGGCAACAAAAAGCAGCACTGGAGGCCTCGAGTAGGCTCCTCTAAACGGAAGGAACCCTCAATAGGTCTGATATGAAATTCCCCTTGACATAAGCCCATTTGGATGCTGTCTTTCTGTCCAGGGTATCCAAATCCTAGCAACAAGTTGGCAGTTTCATCGCATGCCCAAGGTTTAAACGTGGGATATGTGTCACAAATCCCCCTCCCTCCTCGGTCGGACCCATCTGCTTCCGAGGCGCAGGACACACGTGCCTGGGTGAGACTGGGCATTGGGGGTGCTGGGTGCTAGGGGTGCTGAAAAAAACCAAGCTGATTCATCCCCCTGTTGGTCGATCGTTTTGAGACTTAAATGAACATGATGATTGTTTAGCATCGACTCAAGATGGGCAATGCAAGATCCTTACCTGACTTTACCTCGACTCAATAGGCATAAGGTACAGGAAAACCAAAGGAACCCAAATGATTTGTGTCTGTTTGTTTATCATGTGTTTGAGGCTCGGAGCAACGCGTCAAAGGGGTGACAAATCGAGCACTCCACACAAAAAAACAGAAAGAAAAACAACCCCCAGCGAGGGGGTGGAGGTGCGACAAGTATATTTTTGTTGATCACGTCCAATGTCCATCCACTTTCAGCAAGCCTTTTCAGCTGCACGGGATTTGCGCTCTCACGATCTGTCAAGCATGTCCAGGCCTACGTCGGCATTTAACACTACGGCGAGAGGGTAGCACAACCATCATGTGATCCAATTTTGATGGGAGGGTCTCTAAAAACTGTTTGTTTTGGGGGTAGAGTGTGTGGGTTGGCTTCAAATAGATCCAGTGCAACAAAACAAGCTGCCTCGACCCCCAAAGCTCTGGTCTCAAAACCACCGGACTCCAAAGTACCAATTCTTTTTGAGGGAAGCTGAGATGGGTTTCACCCCGAAGCCACCAGACCCTGAAAACACCGAGACCTCTGACTAGAATTGGACCCCCCAGGGAATGAGGCAATGCTCTTCAGGTTATGAAATGTCCTGTGGGGAGCAGCACCCTCGTTTCAAGCGGGTCTCAAAACTGATTGCATGACTTCCAACCCGGATCAAAACGAGTTGGACCCCCCTATTCATGTTGCACGACTATGGCTGTCTATCTCTACCAAAAGCTCCGTGACGTGCCAGGAACTTCCTTTGACCCCTCAGTTGGAGGCCCGTCAGAAAACCACTGTGTCAACTTAACCCTCTGTTCAAACAAACATGGGTAGAACCCCTCTCTACGGGGGCGCCCTTAATGTTCGCACCGAGTCGGAGGTCGGCTTTGTTGTGTGGGAGGCCAGCCGTATACAGAGCCTCTGGTTTTGCCCACTGGCACCCAGGGCCGAGTTGTTGAATCAGCTTTTGATTCCCAGTGCTTCCAGTATGCTCAGTAACTAGAGTGAGAAATTAACCTGAGGAACACCATACGAACACCATGTAAAACCTAGCGGAAGCCGCCATTCGGTTCCCTGCCACGGCTTGCAACTGGTGTCACCCCTGGCTTGCCGCCCGTTCTTCCACCGGTTGCTTCAAGGGGCCGAAGACGAACATCATGTAGGAGCTGGGACGGCGCTGGAGGTGGAAGTAGACAAAGACGTAGCTGTAGCCTCCAAAGCAGGGCTGTGGGACATGGAATCCACTGTGATACAGCGGAAAAGGCGTCCCCAAAGAAAGGGGGACGTTCCCTGTATCACAGAAGTGGGGAGAAACACCTTGATCCCACCACCCTCAGTAGTAGAATCAAAGCATTTTTGTGGGGCGTGTCACGTCACAACTTTGCCGCCAGTGCCCAGCTTTCAGCTTGTTTTGAAGGGAAAGGAAGAGCTGCCCAAAGCAAACCGAGCTGTCAGTAAAGGAGATAGACGCAAAACACCGTGCTCAGGAATGAAAGATAGTTTGCGACGCTTCTCGTCCATCAAACTTAAACATCGGGATTCACGTCGGGACCCCCAGAACCCAACAAGCTTCCTCCAAATGCCACCCAGGAGGAAGATTGGTCCCAAATGAATGCCGCCAGAACATCCAACGGTTTCGGCATGATTTCGTCGAACTCCTGAAAGAGATAGACACACAAACCAAAAGTGAAAACCCTACCGAGGTTTCCAAACCACCAACGATTGCCGAACAGGGAACGTCAAATTTGGGAACTGAGTTTCACGATCAAGCCGCCAAAGGGATCACCTGTTGACCTTGTAGAACTCAAACCGTGACTTCTCAACTGACCAACAGGAGGCACTGGTCAGAAAGGGTGCCCAAAGGGTCCAAGACAGCAGGCAACTATGATTTTGACCTAAGGGGCTTGGCGATCACATCCTCTGATGTCAGAAGCTACAAACACCTGATCATCAGCTCAGCTCAGACCCGGAAGCCCGGCCTTTCCGATTCTCGCCCTCGCCGAACCACTCCGTCTCCAACTTGAAGTCCAACTTGCCGTCCTTTCGGCCAAGATGGTGGTTTAGCCATCACCCCTCAAAAAGGGCAATGTGGATTGGTGATTTAGAGGCTCGGGGATGGTTGCCCACTTGTCCTCGACAAGAACCTGGGGTTCCAATCCCCAAACTACCAAATAGGGGGCCTCAAGAAGCGGGATTTGGAAAACCTCCGACTTGGAAATCGTCCGGGTCCAAGTATTGGGCTCAAGTAAATGTGGGGTTATGGGCCCTAAGTAGAAAACAAACTTTCGTCACTATGTTGCCCCTAGTACCCTCCTGTTGTACTTTGGGGGGGTCGAAATGGGTCAAAGGACCATGCTTAGTACCTGGAGCTTAGGGGTTCTTATACCGGCTAGTGATTCCTTGCCGATTGATTTCCCTAGCACAAAATGGGATGCAGCTTTGCAATTCCTTCACCGACAGCCCCAAGCGACCGAACTTCGACGAACGCCCTTGCTTGCTCAAAAGGGCTACGTGTTTTTTCTTCTTTGCCCGGAATGAGTCAAATATACCCAGAGCCAAAACCCCGGTCTGCACGTCTCAGAGTGTCAGGACGCTGGGAAGCCATGCAAACGTTGACATGGTCTCAAAGTGGAGATGTGAACCATCTGTCGACATCCGTCAAGTGACGAATCTTTGTCCAGAGTTGCGGACACTTTTTGGGACTTGAGTATGAATGTGCCTTGTATCCGTGCGCATCATCTTTGCTCCCCGAGCCAGTGCACCACTCAAGGGAAAATCTATGAAAGTGACTCCCTGCAATTTCTGATTCGTCCAGGAGACATGGAAGGCGAAGGTTCCGAGGCCATAGTGACTTCACGGGCGCCAAAAACTTGAAAGATCTTCTCGAAAGACTACAGCAAGTTTTCATCGCTGGTTTCCAAACAAAAAGAATCGGGGGGCTAAGGCACCCAACAAGCAAACCCAACATCCAGGGGCCTTTTTGCCGAGTCTTGGGAGAAGTTTGGGTAACCCAAATCAATGGGGTCATTGTGGGAATCTCCTTTTGGGATTAGACCCATTCCAGGAAACTCCTTCTCTTAGTTGGTGAAGCAGAGTTCCCATCACAGACTCAAACCCCAGACCCCGCCTTGCCATTGAGCAACTCCCACTCTGTGTTGCCATCGTACCTTCGCGAGTTGGGACGGAGCAGGCTAATCTGAGTTCTTGGAGATTTCAAGATCACTGTCCATGTTGGAGTTGGAACCTAATTCACCTTGGTGTAAAGGGAAACCGAAGTGAACACCGCCCATGTTTATGGATGCAAATCCCTACTCTGACGCAGACCCCATCTGTCTCAAAGGCAGGTCCATTGCTTCGGCCTGAAGCATTCTGTTCTGCCCAAACATGGGAAAAACCCAACGGCATCACACAGCGTTGGGCCCCCTTTCCCGCGCAACGGACCCACAACCGAGGCCTATCCTGCCATCACATGAACCCCCGAGACTAAACTGTGGCCTCCCGGGTCGCTATCCAATGTTTGGTGTTCAGAACGGCCCTGGAAAAGAATCGGAAGTCTTCCTTGGAGCAACCAGGAGACAGCATCTCCTTCCTTGTGACAAACTGGAGGTGTCCCTCTTGAGGGTACGACCGCCTTCTTGAAGGCTTCAAAGGGGAATCAAAGGGAAACCACTCATTTTGGTGGGTGCTTAGACTTGACTCCAAACCCAATGGCGGTCTTTCATCCATCAACACTTGGACACCCCGCTTGGAACTCCTGATACATGTCCAAATCACAAGGTGAAGGAAACAAATTGACTTCCCACCAGCAAAGATTGAAGTTCAGGATTCCCTGTTGGATCATATAACCTGCCGCATAGAACAAGCGCCGGGATCAAACAAGTCACACTCAAGACTTTGGTTGACCTTTTTGGATTGCTGTTATTTATCCACCCTCCCACCAACAACATGGAAGTGCAACGACCCCCATTTCAAAACACAATTGTCGTTCAAAGGAGGTCTTTGCACTTCCATGATTGTTGGGTCGCGAGTCTAGGAATACTTTGCTTAATGGCATTGCACTGAGAAGGTTGGAAGGGGCAAGGTCAACTCACCACCAAAAAAGGCCAATATTCATTGATTGATTGCTAAAGCTCGTGATGTTTGCTCAATCGAACCCTCAACTCAAAGGGCGGGTCTTTTGAACTTCTCTACTGGTCGGTTGGGGTCAGAGGACCCAAAAGGACCGCATTCAACCTTTTTGGGCTCTATTGTTCGGTCTGTATCTTCGCAATTGCGGTACTGTCAAGGGAAATCCCCCGAGAAACCGCTGACCTGAGTTGACCTGTAGAAAAAAGGCCCCTCTGACTAAAACGAAAGTCGGGCCCAAAGAAATTGAAATGTCTCGTTGAACGACATCCTTCCCTACTTCCTTCTGTGAAAAGTCTTCACTACTGGTTGCTGATCGCTTGTGTAACAGCTACAAAAGTACAACAACAAACATTCTCTTGGGTGACCCCAAAACGGGTTCCACCAAGTGTGTTCCTTTCGAATACTGCCCATGGTTGGTGCAAGCGATCGCAATCCGATTTGTTATTAGTTACCTGACACCCAAACAGCTTTCCATGACGGGAAGGGGTCCTTCCATGGCTGCTTTCCTCACAGTGCTCTAGCGAATCGATCCGCACTTCGAGCAATACTACCACAAAGAAGACAGGACACCCAACAACTGTTCCACCCAAAAATGGGTTTGGCCATCCTCTTTTTGCGGGGGTACCAATGTTCAAGCCTTGCGGGTGTCCCTCTTTGGTCATCAAAGTGACGCCAAAAGGAGCACCCACCAAGCGAACGAAGGCCGCCGAATCCCGAGCGAGGCGCTCGTCGGGCAACACCAGCGCGCCGTTGACAAAGGGCTGGGTGTGCACCTCTCCGAACTTCCGAACTCCGAAGCGGCCTACTTTGTTAACAAGGCCCCTCAAAGGATACAAACTCGGACCCTGCCAAAATAATAATCACTTTTGCCAGCTGATTTAGAGGTGTTTTTTCTTGTTCAGCAGGTGGTTTCTGGATGTATCCTTTAAGGAATCCTGTTCAATTGGTGGCTTGGATTGGTTTGGATTGTTTCCTACAGGAGCCAAGGGCTCAAGTTGCTCGAATCCCCACACCACCAAGAAAGGCTGTGGTGAAAATGGCCCTATCATTCTCAGCGAACGGAACACCTGGTACTCGGGTGGAGGTGACCAAATATCTTCGTTTTGCCTTAGGGGGCTCTCAACAGGTTACCTACACAGGTGGATTCACAGAGAGATCAACATCCCAAGGAACCTTCCGATCACTGGCACAGTGAACTGACTGTACCTTCCAACTCTATGGGCGAATCACACCAAAACCACGTCCCTAGGGAATCCGTAGAACCACACAAGAAAAAGTTCAGTTCAGGCTTTGCTCCATACATGTTGAGAGGCTCAGAATCCCAGAACCTTCTTACGCCAGACCTCTCTGGGCGTGTGTTTCTGTTGCGATGTCCTTTTTTGTTTACAAAACACACACACACATCCAATTTGGACCTTTGGATTCGAAAGTCCAAGCTGCGTTGTCGATATCCCAGGAGTAGGATGCCATCTTCACGAAGCACTCCTGCGAGTCGAAGGGCAGCATGTGATAGTCCATGGGGCACCGCAGCTCGTGATGGTATCCTCGGTTAAGCTGGGGTGCTGGAAAACGCGTCCCAAAACGGGGGAGGGTGAACCAAGCAAAGGGCTCCCAAACCGCGGATTCCCCAAGCCCGTTGATTCTCAAGTGCCAATATTTTTGTTGGAACATAGAACCATGCACTGGAAGCATGCCTACGCATCCGGTGCGGAAACACGTGCGAAATGTGCGGGTCCTGTCTTCCAAAAATGGAAGAGCCAGCTTGCCCGCCCGAAGTGCCCTTCTCAAGCCCCGTGTCTCCGCTTTTCCCTGTGCAACCCAGGGTTCAGCCTAAGAGGCTGGGATGGGAAGAAGGTGTTGCATGCGGATCCCCGAAAGGGGGTGTGGTCCCCTTTCAAGAGTTGGGTCACAGGCGCTTGGACACTCTTCAAAACAAGTTGGCTGAACTCGCCCCTGTTTAAGCTGCCTCCTTTTGATACCAGGTGCCAGGATGTGGCTTGCCATGAACGCCTGTCAACCACCCGTATGTTGGGTCGATCGAGTTGCGATCAGATCGATACATATCGCCCTCTTCGCTGATGGACAGGCTCCCAGCGCCGTACCACTCGGTGAGCGAATTGTCCTGAGAGCTGCCAAGAACTCACACCGTGTCGAAAAGGGGGTCTGGCACATAATGCGACTGCCCTGGACCAAAACGACTTATTTCCCCGTGGGGACATCGAAGAACTGGCATGTGCTCCCCAAACTAACAATACGCCATGGACCAGCCGTTGGTCAGTATATCAGTACAGCTTCTCAAATTCCCCAACTGAACAGGGTCAACTTTGGTGGTCAACAAAACAACATGCATTCGTTTTGACAGCATCCTCTCAACATGGCAATGGGGTTGGTTTGTTGATTTGGGGTCGCAAAATATAGGAACCCCAGAATGCTTGGTCCCTTTTGGTTTCTCATTCTTTACCAATCCGAAACGGGTGACCCATTTGGGGTATGGGCTCTGGATTTGGGTGTCTGCATCATGAATGAAAGTCTATATTTTGAAGTTGTCCAGTTGATTAGGTTCAAATGGGGTTGAGCTTAGTTTTCTTCTTCTGTGTAGCTTACCATAACTTACCCCGCAAAATTGGCCAAAAGGCGCTCTGCTTTTACAAGTTGCATGAGAAATACGTGATTGCGACCAACCGATGTGGATCCTTTGAAAAGAGGGAACCTTTTTTTGGTTTAAATGTCCTTAAATCCTTCCCCCAAAAGCACAACCCTGAACTCGAACCACTTCCGCAGACACACAACAGTTTCAGGGTCAAAAAAGTGGTAGGTTGATTTGGAAAACGATCAGCAACTTATGACGGTGCATAATTAAGGCTATGGGAAAAAATGGGTTCACCAACAGATGGCGGGTATCCTTTTGCCCTCCCTTTAAAACCACCCCACAAGGGGTACCCTCAACAACTGACCCATGAGTCATCCGAGTCGGTGCGAAAAGGCGGGCCCCAAAAGCCTACAGGCCAATTGCCACTGGTTGGGCTTCACCCAAACGGGATGTCTCCAATTGAAAGCACAAAGCACAGCTTTGGTTTTGGTTCGGTTTCCCTTTTTCACCAATCCAAGAAAGGATACCCCCACCCAGCCACGCGGAATCCAACTGTGGGGCCTGGTTTGGATGATGTTCCTCTTAACTTGACTCGCTCTCTCTCTAGCCGGCGGTTTCAATGCAAGAGTACCAACTAACTCAAAGAACCACACCTCTCCCATACGGAGACCGGAAACTTGGGCTCTTTGGTCTCCCTTCAACCTTCCTTCTTCTTCTTCTTCTTCTTCTTTTGTTGCGGTTTGATTGGCGGGGGTGCGGCAAAAACGGAGGGCCGGGGAATTGGGTGAAATCCGGCAATCCCCCAAATCGTAGAAAAAAAAGAAAAATATTCCGGCCAAGGGATCGAAGTAGATGTCCGGCGCCCACAGGTCTACTCCATAGGGCTTGGTCAGCAGTATGGGCTGCGAGCAGTTGCCTGGAGGCCAGGAAACCGCCGTGAGACCTACCCAGGAAACCGCCGGTGAATCTCCAGGCTATATCCGGGTGCTTGTTTCTAACAAACTTGGGACTCCAGGTAGGTGGGTTCCTTTTGGCTTCCCTTCAAGCCATCCGAAAAGGGGTTCCCTGTTTTGGGAAAGAGCAAACTTGCTCTTCACAGACTTGGAACAATCATTGAATGCCCAAGGAATCTGGATGTGTGAAAACGCTCGCTTTGCCTCCTTCTTCTCAGCGAGATAGTGAGCCAATTTGCGCAGCCCACCAGAAGCGGATGTTGGAACTTTTGGGGTTGGCCCTTCCTCCGAATTTTATGGGAAGGTAAGGCCTTCCAGTAGCACCAATTCTCCTTAGAAGGGAGCCCCTTTTGGATGATTTTAAGGAAGCCAAGCGGCAACCAGCCAGCTTTTGGGTCCCGGTCCCCCTATTTCACGACATACCCAGTTGCTTCCCCAACTGCCGCCCAGCACGAGCCGACCCCCGCCTGATCGCGCAAGCCGTGGGTCCTTCCAGGAAGTTCGGAAGTACCTCCGCAGAAAAGAAGCAAGAACTACACGAGGGGTGGGTCGCTTGTCTGCGTTTGTGGTGAAATGTCGAACGGAAACACCCGAAACGAGGGGTTCCCCCATTAGAAGACAAACCCATGCAGATTGACGGCCTCCAACTGTGGGTCTTTTTGGGCACCAAACATGGTTGGCATACTTTGTCAAGGGGCACCTAAAGGAAACAAACCCATTTTGAAAGACACACCCATGCAGATCGCTGTAAGCCAACTGGCTGGTAAAGGGGCCAAGTCTGAACCTCATCATCTCAAATGATTTTCGGCCTAACGGACAAGGTTGGAATGTGGCGCCAAGCCGACTGGCGGCAGAATCTGATAGGCAGCACTCGCCTCAGTTGGAAAACCCCTCAACTGGCTGCAATGCTTGTTCCTTCGAACTGGGGAGAAGCAGTTGGACCCTTTGTCCCTCAACCTGGCAAGATTTTACATGTTTCATGGACGTACATGCTTCCCCAAGCATGGTGGGTGTGTCTTCTTCGAGGGCACCGTTTTTGGGTGGGCTTCACTGGCAAAGCCATTTTGGGGGGTGTTCTTTGAGAAGCACCGGGTCTAGACGGCACACCCTCCAACCCCGGCTGGGCGCACCCCTCGATGCCGATGTGTTGCTGCTTCTGGATGACCTCTCACGGCCAAGCCCGCCCAAACGATGGACCCAACATCATACGGGTCTGTTTTTGGGGAAGCCCTTCTTGGTTGGGTTTAAAGGAAGCCAACAGATAAAGGAAACCACCATTGTGGCGGGTCCCCTGAAACAAGACACACTCATATGTCAGGAACATTTGAGGCAAAATTGAAGTTTACTGCGACTGAAATTGAGAGTCGCCCTGTTGGAAACCTTGACCGAACTTCATTTGGGTTTCGTGGTACTCTGTGTTGGGATGGTATCGAACTGAAGGAAACTACGGGGAAACTCGTTTCAATGGCCAGACTTGGAGCCCTGCAAAGTTAACCTTGTTGCTGGTTGAAAGAAAAATGATGAAAAGTAGAAAGGCAACAGAGTTTCAGGCTAAGCTGAGTCTGGCAATTATGAGAGCTCTTACTCACTTGAAGAACCCAGAAATCTAAGGTTAACCGTCCAGGACCTCCACAAATGCCTTACAAAATCAAGACATTCACCAAAAAGGCGTATGTGGAGTGAGCTTTTCATGCGTTGGATGAGCTAAGTCCCTCTGATCTTAATGACTCCTCACCTCCCGGGCCGCTTGACCAAAAGCTTGGCCCTACCGCTTGAAGCCCCGACCGCTAACGGCCAACCGGCTGTCGGTAGCCCGAGCTCGATCAGCACAATATGCCTCATGCCCACGGCATGTTGGGCTGGCTCTTCAGTTTGGTGCCTCGCTCTCAGGTTTAATTGTTGGAAGGGGGCCTAAAAACCTCCAGAGGACTGGCAGTCTGGCAGTTGGCCCAAAGCTTCCCAGCCCTCAGGTCACCGAGCTCGTCAAGCCCGGGGATTCTTGTTCACATCCCTGGGTTCCATACCTCAAACAAGGCAACAGAAGGCAACAAGAACAGCACAGCGAAACAAAGCACGAAATGAATAAACACTCACATTGACACAATTTTGACGTCGGATTACTTCGGAGGACTGTACCAATCAGGGGGTAGTTCCTGTTCAGTGAGGAAGTGATCCGTTCTAAAAAGGTTTCTCCGTTGCTGATGGTTGTCCTCGTTAAAGTCCAACCCAACTACCCATCCTGTACCTACGAAAAGCGGGGCTGGGGTCAAGCTGAGTCTAAGTATGTCCCAAACATGTATTTTGAACCCATTCAGGTTGCAACCGTGCTAAGGAAACCGACCCCAGTCACCTATTACTACCAGCCCAAGACCCTAGATATGGCGGCCCACCCCCAAAGACCTCAAACAAGGTCTTAGGACCCTACGTGCACAACGAACAGATCTGTCGCAACGGCCTCCACGATGGAGGCGACGTAGAGCTGGACAAAGACTTCCACTTTTGCGGCGCCCCTCAGCGACGGACGGAGATTTTGGGAACTGGTGGCCCAAAAGGCTCCGTCCGAACCTATGGCTTTGCCACACGTCCCAAAAAAGGCCAGGAAATGGGGAAGGGAGGGAAACCTGTGGCTTCATCATGATGTAAACAACTTCAAACTTGATGTGCTCTGTCTTGTTTAGAGAGCTTTTGTGTCTTGGATGCACATGTGGGTTGTACTCTTGATCACCAGAAGCTAGCACAATTGTCCAACAATCGTGGAAGTGGGCAGGAGGCCATTTCCAGGGGATGGTCCTCCAAAACCCTCCCGAGCACTTCTATTGTTGGAAAGCGATTGGTCAAGACATGGATCACAGGCAAGCAGTTGGGCCACGTGCTTTCGGAGATGCACCGATGTGGCGGGGAGTCTCACACAGCAATGGTTGCACCGGAAATGGGGCAGTTTCAAACATCACCCCAAAGGGCAAAGGTGATGTTAAATCCCCAAACAAATTGAATTGTGTGCCATGGTCAAACTCTTTCTCTGGGTCAGGGTCAGGTATACCCCAGCTATATTTTGGCGAAAAATACCCGAATAGGATTCTTGGTACTCATTGTCGACATTACATTGAGGGGTTGAGGACCCTCCATACCAACCCCTCCTCACCAATTGTCCATTTGCCCATTTGCCCTAAACCCTAACCATAAAGCCATGAGCCCCAACATGGGTGTCCTTTGGACAAGTAGGTGGGTTTTCCTAGTAAATGAGGCACAAAACCATCTAAACCAGTGAATCCCACCTATCTCTATCCAAACTAACCGATCAAATGGACACCTACGCACCCGGCTTCCTGGTTTGCTTTGACATAACACGCGGGAGTATCTTGCTTTGAGGGCACCATTTGTTTGGGGTTTAAAGGAAAACTAAAAGGCGGACTGCCATTTTGGGGATCCCGTAAAAGGGAACGCACCCACTTACCCAAAGGGTTTACCCCAAGTTTGTTCAGCTGTTTGCTAGCCCTTGGTTCGCAGAATTTGGGTGTCCAATGATTTGGATGATGCATCGAAACTCGTTTGCCTGTTAATTACTGAGAGGGTTCTTAACATGGGCTTCCCCGTAAATATCTGCAAATCGAGGGCCCCCCGCGAACAAGAGAAACAAACAAAGACACACACACACACACGTACACGTTGTTTAAGGATCAGCCAGCGAACATTGCTCCACAAGATTGCGAACTGTCTGAGGTACAAAGTACCCTTGTTCAACCTAAGCCTCCAAACAGAACCATCAGGTATTTGCGGTGGCAAACCGAGCCCTTTGAGAGCCACTATTCAACTTTCCCTCATGCGAGAACCAAGTGACAGTGACACAGCAGCCCGACGTGTAAGGCTCGGTCAAAATTCCGGATGTGTGTTTGGTACATTTGGTAACGACATGAAGACGTGAGCTCCAAATGTCCCACAAAGCCCCAGGGACGGGCCCTTAATTTCCCCATATCCTTTTGGGGAAGGGAATGAGTATGACCGTGACTCATGCAACAATTTGCGGCACCAAACAGTAGCTAGCGTTGCCCAAGACTCAAAAGGAGCCAGCTGGTGCATCTTCAACAACTGCGCATGTCAACAGCCTCCATTGGGCTGTGGGCATGTGCCGAATTTCGATCCCCCTTCTCGTCTGGTTGGCTTTTTGTTGGCTACCCTTTAAAGACGACCAAATGCGGAAACCAGAAGGAAATGGATTGTAGGTTTGGGAGGCTGACTTGCTCGAAATGGGGGTACCTACGTGGTTGCGGGAAGAAAACCACGCTCTTCCTGTGATAACAATATGCGCTTTACCACTTTAGTGGCCACTCGAAGCAAATGAAAACCTAAAACCACATTCTCCACAACCATGGGTACCTGTGGTTGCACAAGATCCTGCACCGGTTGGTATACGTGCTTTATCCCATAGGCTGTCATCCATCCCACAGTACTTATTCCCGCAACCAGCTTCCAGTTCCCACTCTAGTGGACAACCAGGTATGGCTGCCAGATTTTACAATGTTTTGCAGCATTGCTTCAAGATTCCCCTTAGAAGCTCCTGCTCTTGCCTAGAAGCTCCATGGCTTCAAGTATGGCTTTTACCGCATGGTTTTTGCGGCGTGCCTAGATGCTGCGCTTGGCTCCGTTTCCACGCATCGACTCGAGCACAGCGGGGCCCGAGCTTGTACGGTCGCTCCGTGGGGTCATAGCCCGCTGTCAGATTGGCCACGATGGCCTGCTGGGAGGGGCCTCAGCGAAAAACGAAATCCCGCACCCCGTCTGGTGGATCCCTGGTGTTTTATTGGTGCATGTTGCTGTGTTCGGTTTTTTGGGGGATGCTTCCGCTAAGTGGTCTCTTGGTTTCGACCATCGCCTAGAGGGTATTCAGTGTTGAACCCCCCGCCTTTTCTGTTGAGGTATGCTTTGTCGGATGTTTTGCAACGACCTCCTTGTAGGTGTTGCTGTTGTCGTTTCAGGTTCGTGCTGCAACATATCCTGCTGTCGGTCATCCTCAAGCCTAGGTGAAGCATATGTTAGAGACACCTGGGGGGAGAGAAAGCTACAAAGCACAAGGAATACGCACAAGGAAATCACACATGTCCGGATATGAGTAATCATCCCTGGAGCCACTGTTGATTTGTAATACCAACGTGGGGCGGTACTTTGGTAGAGGGTTATCGCTTGAAGCATGAACAACAAATGTCAATATATTCGAACAACTTGTCTTCGGTAGGGCTCCAACAGTTAACAAACAATTGTACCGAGCCCACTGAACCGTACCAACGTGAAAATCACACAACGTAACACAAACATGTGCAACAAGGCTATACTAAGTACAGGCCTAACGTGATACAATTGAGGGACACCTACAGACGTCTTGTACCAAGATTGCTAAAACGGTGTATATATGGATCTGTCTTTTCTGAGGGACCCCTTCTCCATTGGTTTTTAAGGGACACCAGGAGGAAAGCACACCTTTCTTTTTGGGGAGCGGGGCCCCGTGAAAAAGACAAATCCAATATAGTATGGGGAATCACTATCATCTATGCCCACCATCGGTCTGCTACGCATATATTAGAAAAGTAACTTGTGTTTCGCGAGTACTCACTAAACGGGACCAGAACCAAATAACCAAAAGCAACAAACCGTGAGGGTTTCGGGTACGGCTCATGCTAAAGCCAAAGGGACTCCCTTAAAATGGCAACATGAAGCAGGCAATGTTCTGCAGGTACCCTGTGTTGATCTCACCCGCTTACCTTCTCCTATAAAATGGGCCTTCCCATCATCCCCACTCCTGTTTCATCACTGCAAACGGGATTCCCTTGGTTTCACAGGAGGTCCAAATGCTCCTCAAACATGGATCTCGTATGATCTGGGTCGGAACTTCAGTCCATGAAGCTTCGTTGACCTCTGCTGCTTTCAGGTCAAATCCTACCCACAGCGGATTTCCACGGGAAAGGGCGCCTGTTCGTCGTGTGGCCTTCAGGGGAAGTCGGAAACTATTTGCAGTCTCGCCCGTTTCAGAGTTCCCTCGGAGTCGCACATGAATGGCCGACGAATCGGTGCTTCTCAATTTGATGATCGGTGAAAGCAGCGTATCAAAGTCTCCTGGTGTGAAAAGTGGCAGCGTGTTTAGTTTTTGCTTCGAGCCGGCTGGTATTGCCCACATGCAAAGGTCGCACTTGGCTGTACGGCAGAGCCTCGTTGGGAACGGATGCCGTTTCGACGGCGTGAGCGAAGCAAAGGTTTCTATAGAGGCATCACTCGGTGCACGATCTTGGGCAAATCTCTTGGGCCAAGAAACAACGGCAGCTCAACCTGACACCAAAATAGATCCGAGGGGGGAGCCGGTTGCACCATATAACTCAACCGGAGCGTCAGTCACTTCCGCGCCCAGAAAATAAGTCCACTCAAATCCAGTCACTTCCCCAACTCACCTTTTAGCCCGTCCGAAAACATGTTGGGATTCAAGCGCCGAACACCAATATGAGACCAAACAAGCATCCTAAGCCATGCGGCTCAAACTTGTTGTGGATCGGGGGAAAAACAACAAGAAAGAAAACCAGGTTGCAAAAGGGAGAAAGCACAAGGAAAGATCATCCCAAGGAAACATGGGCATCACATCGGTCAAATGGCGTTCGCAACAGTGTCGACGGGAACCTTTCAGTTCCGGAACCCTCCTTTCGACCCCCCAGATCCGGAGCCAGGGCCCTCGCACTGCGCCAGAGTCCCTGGCGCCGAAGAAGCATAAATGAACAACTCCTTCTTTGCGTCGTAAGGCCAAGGCTGTTGAAACTATCATCCCCATCATTAACGTCATCATAGGTGTCCTTTTTCGGGAAAATAGATGGCCCTGGTAGTTGATTGAACCCAGGCAAACCAGGGCCCTCCTATTTTTGTCGACCAAATTAATTAAGCGAAAAGGACACCTATGACCGTCATCGTCATCATCATCATCATCATCATCATCATCATCATCATCATGACCATCATGACCATCATGACCATCATGACCATCATCGGCCAGTGTGCTCTGGTTTGGTCATAGTATGAGCAGCGACCCTGCCTGCACGAGCCTTGGTCAACATGCCAGGATTGGTGGAAAAACCCATTGGGAAGGTAGACAAATATTTGAAGGACTCCTAGGCAAACACAAACATTGGCCAAGTGAACGATTCTTGACGAAAAATGTGGCTCAGCCTCAGGCTTCTATGGAAAGGCTGGTAAGGGCTTCCCAAATGGGAAACCTGGCCACCCAGTTGCAGTATCCTCACACGTCCACTTCCTACTACCAAATGGACATAGGCAAGGGTTGGTGGGATTATTGCTTCCCAAGGCAATGAACACTTGGGTGGCTACGGACCTCTGCGACACCAGCGTTGTGAGTGTGACTGTTTCTTTCTAAGCTGCAGCTTTCTAAAATGCAAGTGAAGACATCTCTAAAAACTTTCCGTCAGTGTGCGAACTCGGCAAGTACTGCCACTCAACCAATCCGAATCCCAAAAGGTGCCCCGTTCGCAAAAAGGACACTCTTCTAATGATGGGTGCTTTGGGTTCCTTCCGTGAATCTGGAGTAGTCTATGCCTTCCTTTTCTTTTCCACTGCTCATGCTGGCGTGTTCCCCGGGCCAACGGCAAACCCCCCTTTCCCTACTGTGAAGGGGAGCCGCAGCAAGACCGGATCGGGAAATTCACCCCTTCGGCAAACTGAAATAGACGAGAGGCGCCTTTTCAGGCGCATAGTAGCTAGACCCACCCTCCCGTGCACTTCCGTCAGTGCCAACCAAAGGCCTTAGCACTTCCGGGCAGATCGGGCTGGTCAAGGGAACCAAAGGAAACCCTTCAGCTTGCGGCTCTGATTTTGCAAAGGCCAAAGTCTGACCTTCGATGATCTGATTTTTACTAAGACACCACCTCACTGCTTGGACATGAATCGCCGATTTTTTGTTCACCCAAGAGTCCTTAATCAAAATTTATACTCCAGGTCTCCATCTCTATGCTTCGGGCACACGGATTTCCCACGTCGCCCGGTCCGACGTGCCTTGTAGCAGGCCCAAAGCCAAGAGGAGGCTCATGGCGCTACTTTCCGAATGGTGGGAAATAAATCCCCCCCTAGGTTGGGGGGACTCTTTTCCAGAATTGAAGCCAGAAACATGTGTGTTGGACCAGTTGGTGGTGTCTTCATGCGATCCGCGGTTGGAAAGCCGCTTCCATCCGCTTCCGTTTCCCACTGGAGACCACCTTGCTTCGCTTTGGGGAGTGACGCTTGGTGCGGAAGGCGCAAAGTCATGAGACGGACCAGCAAGGTGCTCCCGGAACCTAACTTGGAGAGAGTATGGGGAGCCCCCCCACCCCCACCTTTTTGGACCAGTGAACCCAAGTCTATGGTCAGCTTCCGTCTGCTCTGCTTCATGGTGCAACTCGCTTTGCGAGTCCGAGAAAGCTGCAGAAGTGCGGGTTCAATCTCCTCAATCCACGGCCATGGTCTACCTTGCAGCAACCCCCCCTGACCCTACCCCCGTCAAAGAGCGCCTTTCAGGACTAGAAAATTGGACCCTTTGAAAAAGCGTCCCGGTTTCAGTCGCAACAGGGGCTTGGCATATTCATCCGAGCTTAAGATTGTTGACTTCAAAGTGGATCGCTTGGGAGGTATGGAACCCACTCCTTGTCAATCAGAAAGGGTTTGACACGCAAGCGGACCACCCGTCGGGTGCAAAGCGCACGCATGTTCAGAGCATGTCACGCTTTGGGCCAACAAGATTAAATCCTGCAATTGGCTGTTCCAAACCTAATCCCCAATGTGGATTGCGGATGAGCAGCCCTTCCTGACCCCTCCCAAAACCAGCCCTCCCAGAACGGCTTCCCTTCTTCCACTCCTTGAGACAGCGCAAGTTAGACATGTGGTTTGCAAAGGAACACCAAAGGAAACCGTTGCCCAGACCCTTGCAATTGATCTTCAGAGGCTCAGAGTAAGCCCTTCCTGTTGCACTGAGTCACAATCGACACCGGTGTTAAAATGGTCTACCCACAACCATGTAAAGAATTAAGAAACTCAAATGGGGATTGGTCAGAACAAGGGACATGTTGGGTACGCAGCCCACTGGCCGAAGCAGCAACCCCCACTTCCGCCTGCGACGCGTTTGGCCATCCTGCGGGTGCTGCTTTGAGGTCCGACAGCCGTGGAAATCCCTCTCTGTTCCAAATACTCGCGGCTTCAGGGAAGGCCAGAGCACCTTCCTTCGTTATTGATATCAAGCCCTTCAAAAAGTGGGTCTTCCGCCATGCATTCACCTTTTTTGCCCTTGGCAAAGAGCAAACCGGAAATAGGAAAACCAAGAGGCAGCTTCACGTTTCACGATTCACATTGCAAGTGGTACGTATTTCCGCCCGGGTGAGGGATGCGTCCATGGATATTGGTTTCCCGCAATGTGGTGAGCAAGCTTGACATGGGGTGTCTTGTTTAGGAGACAGCCGCCAATCGATATGGTGCGAAGTCAATAGGTCTGACAAAACTGCGCTTGGGTTTTACGAAAATAAAAAGATCCATCCCTCTTCGGTTCCGTTCGGGACCATGTCAAAGCCTCAAATGCTGCTTACACCTGAATCTGAAGCGCCAGATCAACCATCTCAGACACTGTGCCGCTTCTTCGTGCCCTTTGTTGATCCTCTTGCCCAGTGAGCTGGCACCGTCAGCTTCCCAAGATTGCCAACCCCTATAAGTGGTTGGTGGCGGGAAGGCCAAAGCTCCAAAGCAGCTCCAAAGGCTGATTCGTCCCATAGATTTTGGGAAAGGAATCAGGCAATCCAGATAGGTGCTAAATAGGTGTGGATAAAACTGCTCTAGGGATGGGGTAAAAAAAACAACAAAGACACATATAAACGAATCCCATCCATCCACTTCTGCTTCCCTTCGGGACCATGTTCAAAGCCTCAAATACGCTTACGCCTGCATCTGAAGCAGCGCCACCTTTTCTAGCCAGAGATCAAACATCTCGGAAGATAAACGGATTCATATAAGCAGAAGGAACCCCAGAGTTGTCCATTCAAAATCTTGCCAAGTGGGCTGGGACCTTCCGGCTCAGCATCCACTGTCAAACTCAGAGAAAGAATTTTCAAAGGATTTTCTTCGCTTGCCACTTTCAAGGGGTGTTGCAGCTTCCATGTGCTTGCGGTTCCTTCGGTGTGAAACGCCCGTCCAGCCCCAACTTGGGCGCTGCGACTCTCCGACTCCCTCGTTTTCAGCGGCAAAGCCGGAGACGTCGCTCGGGCCACTGGCTGCGGCCAGAATAAACAATCAGCGCGCTGAGGAAAATCAGGGGTGCCGGTCTGGCCATGTAAGTGACACCAGGCCAAATGCGCAGGGATGCTCCGAAATGGGGAAGTCGTGGAGTAATTTGTACAGGCAGCTTTCAGTGTACTTGGGGACAATTGACGGCCAACAACGGCACATCTTGTAACCCTATCCGAGCCACCCTGGCAAAGGCAACTGCATAGAAAAACCGGTGACAAAACCCGGTCGAAAATCCTCTGTGCTCCGCACAGAACTGCCCTCACTCCGGGGATTTGCCGGGTGCCGCACGTTTTGGAGACCCCGCAAATTCGCACCAAGCCTTGCCACGTTTGAACCAGCAAGCTGTTAAAAAAAGAAACAATTCTGCCCTATAAGGTTCAAGCACCATTGAAGTCGTGGCAACCCAATTTGGATGATGAACAACTCCACTCTAAACCGCGGGGGTTCACCACTCCCATAGCTTCAAGACCAGGCCATGCTTACGCAAACTGCTCGTGTCATAAGCACAGCGTATCAGTCTCACTCTCCGTGCACACCAGCGTTTTTTGGGGCGCGCCCCGTGGCGATTTGTCCACCTCCTGCCGAGAAACGAGCACCTCTCTAAAGACGTTGCGGATAGTATGTGAATCGAACCGGTTTCGGCGTCCGAATCCCTTTAATCGCGGTTGCTTGGTTTCTGAAGCGATGATGTTGTCTCTAAACCTACATGTGATTTTCCTTTATACCTGGTTTTGCCCATCTAAAAGATTCGTGTTGAAAGCAATCAAAACAAACTGGCCCCCCTCCCGCCCCACCCATCCGCCTTGCCTTGTCAAATCCCCCCCTCCAAAAAAAACCCAAAGGAGGTGGCTTAACCATCTGATAGCTTCTGTTCACTGACTGACCTTTCCCATCCTTTCCCCCTCCTTGGCTTTGGTTGCGCTCGCCGCAAGCGCCTGGAATGCCGTCTTGGAGCCCGGCGAACGCGGCGAACGCGGCGCTTCTGCACGGCACTTGCAACCGCTTTGAGGCTCCTGGGAAATCAAAGCGGAGTTCCGACTTTGCGGTGCCAAGCCAGGAACGTGTCCTCCAAAACCAATGAAAGCCAAACCGATTTGGAGCTCTCAAAATTTGACTTGTAAGCAAGGTTGCTACGGTGTGCCAAAGGCCGTGTCAGAAGGGTTGACACTTGATGGAGAAGGAGAACAGGTCCAAGGACAACAGGGTTTGGTCAGGTTCTGAGGAACAGTGTTGAGGGGTCCAAGGGACAGCCCATTGCCTTCACTTCGGGCGTTGGCTGTGTTGGATCTGGCCTCGGTGCATCTGGGGAAGCCTCCATATCCCAAGTTCCTACCAAATCTACCGCAGCTTTTGCCGCCTACACATGTCGGTGGTCCACATTCTGGTCATCGTGTAATGTAAACCTTACCCAAAAGAATCCCGATGTTGGCCGTTTGGAGGAAGTCGGACCGGTGCTTGGAACCCGCGCTTGCACATTGTGCGCTTGCTTGCTTGCTTGCCTGCTTGCTTGTTTGCTTGCCTGCCTGCCTGCCTGCCTCCCTGCTTGCTTGCCTGCCTGCCTGCCTGCCTGCCTTCCTGCTTGCTTGCTTGCACACCCTTTCTGGAAGAAAGGCGCAATCCAATAGAGATCCCCCTGCTGTCTCCCTGTCCTCATCTACAGATCCTGAAAGCTGACGCAATAGCTTCGTGCTGGCCGACATGCTGTGCAGAATCTGGTCGAAGTACTGATTGCTTTCCTGGGAAATGCCAAATGCAAAAGACAAAAACCATGTGGGAAACCGATGTTGTCCAAACGTCCTATGAACCATATGTAGCACCCGACTAATTAATGGGGTGCTTTTTTGACCAATGCTAAATGGAACCTGGGCTTGACCCTTTTGAGTTGCAGAACTTCAGAAACAACTTACAGGACAGCGGAAAGGAAGGCAGCGTTTCTTCAGAGCTAGGTTGTGGGCGTTTCTCAAAAAAACAATTCCCCTTGGGTCTCTTTTTATATCTTTTGATGCTCTTGTACCGAGCTCGAGTGATTCGAATTACAAACGGAGTAGTCTTCAGGGAACACAACTTGGTAGACAAACCGCATATCCCTTACATTGGGAACCCTTGCCTTTAGGCTTCCTTTCAAGCAGACCAATCGGTACGCCCTCCAAAGATACACCCACGGAGCCTAAAGAAAGACATGACAAAACCATGATGCAGGGAGCCTACCCCAAGACCCGCAAGTCTCAGGAGGCACAATCAGCCCAGGCAATAAAAAGCCAACTGGGACGGAATGCTCTTTTGGGGCAAAACAAAGCGATCAAAGCCAAGTGTCTCTAATCATCCTGTCGAAGCGCTCGTCCATGCTCCTGTTGAAATGATCAACCTTGGGCAAGAAGAATGCTCCAAACACCTGTCGCAAGGGAGACTTGATCCCAAGGAAGCAACACAACATGCAAATGTTCCTGGTCATTAATTCACGGTTCGGAGCAAGCTTCAAAAAAAGTGTCTTCCCCCCGCCCAAAACAAACAAAAAAAATAATCTGCCCGTGGAGCCCGTGAATGTCGACCGCCCATACTTCTGCATAGCCGACGGATACACAACAGGAAATGAGCTTGAAATACGCCGTTGGCAAAATGGGTGCAGTTTTCGTGCTTGACACCTTCTTCTTGTCCAACTTTATCCCCGACCCCAAATTGACATCAGATGGTTCAAGATATGTTGCCACCGGTTGATCCTTCCGGGGAACAATGTAGGCCCAATCCCATGTTCAAAAAATATATGCTCCATGGGCCTTTGCTTCAAAACATGCTGTCGCCGCAAGTGCGGAGTTTTCCTGTTTTGCTCAGTTCAATGGCTATGAACTTTACTGGGGACCCTGAGAAGTGGTTGGTGGACAAAAATCCCTACCCAAATGTGCACCAAAGGGTCCCCGATGAAGACTCATGCCCAAATTTGACATATGCAAATTCTTTGACCGAGCGCCACACGCGTTCATGGCAAAACATAACTGTTCGTCGTCCCGGTCTGCCGCAAGGAAAGGAATCTCCAAACCAAAGGGTTGCCCCTGACTAGACGGGCAGTTTGGCGGCAAACCCTGGGGGGGAATCCTCGACGGCATCCAGTGACTGGCTAGGAGCACTGGAGTTTGCTATGCTGTCGCGCAAGCCACAGAGCTCGTTTAGGACCACATGCGAGGAGTGGTTTTTGAGCTTCGAGATCGTGTCCACCATGTCCTCTGGAGATATCGTTGGGAGTGCGGGAGAACAATGAATGGAACCGAGTGCCGTAAATGTGCCTTTGAGCCATTGCCACCCAAACAAGATTCACTTTGAAATGGCCCAAGAGCTGATGTTCATTTTTTGGGTGAGGTAAGGACCCTTTGGAAGATGACACAAAGCCGAACAAACAGAGCGCATCAACTTGCAACGAAGAGCCAGGCTTGGATCTCTTCGTGAAAACCAATGAACATCTCGACCCCAAATACAAAAACGTTTTGTCTACCTCACGTAGATGTTAAGATACAGCAGCAAAGAGACTTCGGGGCTCCCTAACCCGTTCTCAGCTCGCAGGAACCTAGGTGCAGACTCCTAAGTCACAAGTTGCAAGCTTCCCAGCTGATCTAGTTCGATCCTGTTTTTCTTTAGAGATGAAATCCATGAACGTCCCTAACTCTGGGGCAACAGCCTGGCTGGGTGAGTTTCCGACAAGAATCCCTGTGAACAGCTAGGACTGAGACCTGTTTGTCTTCTCTCCGTCATCTTGCGGATTTGAGTGAAGTGTATGAAACTTTGGGCGGATCCCCTTCACCATCCCACAGGCACGGCCTAAACCTCCAGCGAACATTTTCATGGCAAGGGCGGCAAATAAAGTGGACAGCTGCCAGCCTTTTCACAGGGACTGTAGTCTTCCATAACCCTCCGGTCAGCTTTCCTTTCATGATTGGACAGACTGACAAAGGGGAAATCACCAAGCTCATATCCCTTCAAGTTCGGCCCATTCGAGTCCACTCAATATGTCCAGGTATGTGGGAGTCGTCTTTGTTGGGGCAATCTTGGGGGTTCCATGAGACAAGACGATCCTAGAGGATGGTTTGGGCTGTAAACGGAGCGTTGGCCAATCCCAAACCACACTCCGCGGGGAAAAAAATGAAACCTCCCTGGAGCACTTTGGGTTGTGGATCCTGTGGATTTCCGACATGAACAGCCCAGCTATGTCCCAAACAAAACGGGTACCCTCGAAAAGACCAGATGACCATGGAGGTAAAGCCTCAGGGGATCCGTCGTTGACTGACTCACCAAGGTCCTTGTAGGGCACATGGCCCTCGCCGTTGGTGTCCAGGATCTTGAACAGCAGTTCAACGTCCTGCGGCCCCAAAAGTCGGTCATGTCACCCCACGAATGAAAGGGCACCACATGTTGAACGGCAGAAGGGCTTGGGCTCCTGGGATTGCGAACACATTCTGAACCAAAACCAACACATACCTCTGGCGATTGCAATTCGCTCCGGGCCTTAACTTACGCCGGGAAAAAAAGACATTCGCGACCTCCTTCGCGGAGATTTCGTCTCACGAAAGCAGGAGACGAAGTACAGTTTCTGCAGTCCTGACTTCAAAGTCGCAACTGTTAAGCACGAAAGCCGTACCCGAAGTAAACTTCCGCAGCACAGGAGGGCACTCAGTAGCCACCCATGTCCGGAAACTTGCAAGGAGGTCCATCGGCTTTTGCGACACTTTCGCGGATCTTGCTCCAAACGTTACCGCAAATCTGGTCGGGAAGTTGCCCGACAGCTTAAACACTCGAAGCTGCTTTCTGCTGTGCTTTCGTCTGACTAACTGAGTCTGAGTGCATTCTGCGCACACTCCGAGCGAACACAAATGGTTCATCACTCATCTTCTTTTTATATAGCAATCAGCCTTGTTAGGCAGAACTTTTGCTCGTAACACTTTCGCGACCTCCAGCGAAAAGCTTTCGCGGAGGGCAACACTAAGATCAACGGCTTTCCCCTTCATATCTGAGGGCAAGGACCTTTCGGATAACTCCCACATACATACGTAACAGTTGTAGCCACGAAGGAGAAAGGACCAAAATTGAAACGAGGCAACTGATCATCCAAATGCCCGACACCCCTTGAAGAGTCCCGGAGCACTTTAGAAGGGGTTCCACGGATGGGAAAGTGTCCTTGGAGTGCCGTTGAACCCCCCTTGGAGGGAACAACTCCCTCTCCAATGCCTGTCCCAGAATGACTGACACTCAAAGTAGGAAGCCCCGTATGTGAGTAAACAAAGGAAAGGCAATCCCTCACAAGCCCTAACTAGGCCGAAGCGTCAGACTTGTTGCTCTTGGAAAACCTGACGATGCTAGTGGCAAACTCCGTCGAAGGCCCGTGGCCACCCAAGCCCCAGGTGAAAGGGTGGTTTGACCATGGCACAAATGCGTCTCAATATCGACCCAAGCCTTTCCTGCACAATCACCCCTCAAGAAACTCATGCTCGGGAAAAACAAAAAAACAACTCACTCCATCATTCCAATACGACCCTCCCGTCCAACATGGAACCCATACGGTGCCTGAAGGGAGAACCCTCCGAACCCGGACCCACCTAGTCAGGTTCCCATTCTATTCTAGCAGCATGTCCTCAAAGGAACGGATGCAAGCGGTCGAAAGTCGCGGGACACCCTTCCTTAAATTTGCAGGTGCAAATGAAGCCTAGACACTAGAGGGTCGCTTGAAGTGGGTCGCCAAATCCCTTTCGGTACTCAAGCCGAAGGGCACACATCAACCACAAATAGAACGACAAAAGACACTCTCGCATGGGCCATCATCGAAACTCCCAAACGGACCATGGGCAGGGTTTCCTTGCCAGAAACTTCCTGTCAGGGATCTGCAATTCCTACCAATCCCGAGTAAAACGGGTGTTACAACAATGGCACAAATATACAAAGTGAGTCACAATCAACACTTACTTGACACGATAAACATATCTTCCTAAAATCCAAGGGAAAATCACAAGGCAGCAGCACTTATTTGCGACTGAGACTGTGCACTCCAACTGCCGCAGGTTTAGATCATCTCGAATGGAAAGTCAGATTGAAGTTGTAGCTCAAGTGGGCAGGCTTGCTTTTTTGGAGGTACCCCCAAAAAGGGGGTTGCTGTTTTTGTTGGGAACCCCGGCCCCCGGAAACGACCCCGAAAGCCATCTGCGACTCCCTTTGGCACCGGCCTCGTCAAAGACACCCATCATCTTCATGCAGCTGGCGAAGATCTCGTCTTCCTGGAACCCCGCACGCAGCTCCTGCGCAAAAAACACCTCCGACATCCACGCCTTGTGGACGCCTAGCTGGTCCTGAAGCATTCTTGGTTTTGGTTGTCATGATGGGTCAGTTGGGGGGGAAAACACATGGATTCCCATGGGTTTCAGTTTCTGATGTTCAAAAACCCAGTGAGAGCCATGTTCCATTCGACAGAGCGACAACTGCCCCAAGCAACAGGAGTGGCTTTTTGCTAGGAGTAGCTCGCTACAAGAAGTGGCTGGATGTGAGCACCGTGACTGTGACCAAGAGAGGAGGGCGGCTGGAGGGCAACATCGCTAGCATCGCCGGGCTCAGTCTGCCCCTGATATAGGGGTGCAATTAAATCTCTGTCCAAAAAAACAACTGGGAAAGCAGAGGATGCGAAAAGCCAAAGCCAGAAAGCCGCCAAAAGCCACAAAACCAGAGGAACTGTCAGTTTTTCCTACTCCGCTTGCTCCAACTAATAAGAATACTCCAATTGGCTTTCTATCATCTGACATATACGTTTTATATAGTTGGATATATTGTACATTTTTTCCTATTGCATGATCCTGACCAAATACAGATTGTTTTATTGTTCTATCTAAACACATAAGCTCTACAATTTCTTCCTGATTTTTCTTGATAGATATTGGTATCTTTTGTCCAGCCAGATAATATTTCAGCTATGATTTCATCATTTACGTAAGGATAAATAGGAGATAAATTTGCATCTTGATTTTGTTTTAATTGGTTTTGATTTTCTAAAGGATGCGAAAAGCCAAAGCCGCAAAAGCCGCGTAAACCCAATAAAAAGCCGCAAAAGCCAAACAGAGAGGAACTGTGAATGCAAAGGATGCGAAATGAAAAGCCACAAAAGCCACCGAGAAGCCGCCCACCCTGAAAAACAAAAAAAGCCTCGAAAAAACAAGGGGAAAAAATAAACATGAAAAAATGGCCTTCCGTTGTTTGTTGAGCTTAGCTGCTTATGGTTGAACTTGGGTAAACTTGGGGGTGGCTGCGGGCTGGCTTGCGTCAGGCTTTGGGGCTTGCTTCAGCTCTGCTTACTGTTGCTGAAGGGGCGGTGTTATTTGTATTTTTGCTGGTTTGCGACACACCAACCAACCAACCAACCAACCAACCAACCAACCAACCAACCAACCAACCAACCGACCATGGAGCCCTTGCTAAGCTGCGAGCCACTCCTAGCAACAAAAAAAGACGTCGCCTCCCACTTGAAAGGCACGAGCATCCCTTCGAGTGGGCGGTGAGGTATGTGGGCAAATGATGCAAACATCATCCACTTGCGTTCCCCTCATGGGAGGCATGGAATCATCGCGGATCCTGGTGCTTGTGGTTTTCTTTTCTAGGATTTCACAAGGGAGTCAAACAAAACGCATCCGTTTGTTAAACAACAAGCAAGGCGAGTCACTTCGTAGAGCGCACAAAGAAAAGACGTACAACGCAACAGTCTCAAAACGGCCCTCTTGTCAAGGCACGGACAAAACAACCAGCAACCCCCCAGACCAGATTGACTCCAATGCAAACATACAACGGTACAGCCATATACTCACATTTACCCCCAGCTTACCCCTGATTGATCAATGATCTACCATCTACCCCTTGTTAATAACCCCCCGGCTACTCTCGATTCTCTTTTGTTTGGCCCTGATTTACCACATTTCTACCCTGCATGCAGATTTTACAATGTGTCCAAAACCTGTTTCCAAGATATCCCCGAGTGAAGGATCTTTACTATGAGCTCGTTTTATCCCCAAGCTCCCTCCTTGAACCCCTTGTCCCATCCTGGGCTTCGGTCAACAGGGTCTCACGGGCTCGATCCCTCTCCTCAAGGTCGATCGTGCCGTCGCCGTCGTTGTCCATGCCCCGGCAAAGCTTGAGGAGGTTGCCTGTCGGAACTGGACATTTGCCCAAGGACCTTCAGGGTATCCCGTTACAAAGCCACACGAGTGTATGAAGATTTGATGAGACTCATAGCATCCACCGACAATCAAGTAAAAATCACACCTACGGATCCATCTGCAACTTCTACAATCAGTCTCAAACCTGAAATACGGAATCACCACGTATACAGGACCTTCATGAAGCTTTTCGCTCACACCTGACTCGGTGAGCTCCTTTTGTTTCACTCAGATCCGCTAAAGGTTCGAAGGGGGCCACAACTGAATTCACATTCAGCTTACCCCTTGATGTCATTTTTGATTTGAGGGAACCTTCCTGTCCCTCAACATCCATGCAGGATGCAAATCCTCAAACCACAACTCCAAGCCAGCACATAGGAGGTACCTCACATATCCGTCTCACTCGCGCGAGAAAAAACGAAAAGCACAAAACCATCTGGCTGCGTGATCGCTGTCAGGGATGAACCGTGACCTTTTATGGCTGCCATGACTCCCCTGGACGCCAATTGGACTCCGCGACTCAAATCTGAACTGTTTAGCAAAACGGAAAGTGACTCGCGGACAAGTTGCTCTTGCCCATAGCCCTCTCCTGCTCCTGGAATATCGCCTGCTGCTGGATGTCCTTCCGATGCATTTTTCAAACTTGCCGGCGTCAGCCATGCCCCGAAATGGGGCTACCCCGAAAGGGGTACGTTGCGCCATGTTGGCAACCTCATAGGTTCTCCGACCCTGGTAGCTACTGTAATCATTGGTAAGGGAAACAACCAGCGACTGTTACACCCGCTGAAGCCCTGGCTTTGTGGTTGGAACCTTCTGGAAAGAAGGGCCGGTGCCGGGTCAACCCGAACCAATCTGCAAGTAGCAATGCAGTGCTTTGGACACTTGGAGCTTCAAGCTTGAAAGAAGTGTGGCCAATAGCACAGCTCCAACGCCAGACCAAGGTTCATGTTGTGCTTGGACCTGCGTTGCCTATAAAGATATTTCTGACACATGCCTTGAACATCACCCCGGGAACTTGGCCCAAGAGGCGCTGCTACACCATCGCAAGGGACAACCACTTGGACCGCGGTTTGCCCTGCGCGAACTTGCTGGGTGTTGGCCGCCGCATAGCAGCGACCGTTCATGGACCGCGTGCTTAGGGGGAAGCACAACGGAGACTTCACGCAAAGCATGCAGGGAATGGTCCTCAAGCGAGCTTGGCATCAAGAAAAATGGGGCCTCGGCCGAAAAAGGATTCACCGCCCTATGCAAGGTCCCTCAAACCTAGTGTGGATGGATGAAATCCTGCACCGCTTTGCAACCGTGGGAAATCATTGTTGCTGGAATTTACAAGGGAACCAGCATTCCCGAGTTTACTAGGTGGTGCAGGAATTCGTCCATCCACAGTAGGCGAGGTAAAACATGCTAACTATACTTTACCCTATAAGAGGATGTGTGGCAGCTTGCCAGTGACACTGGAAACCAGTTCGGGACAAATTGGAAAAACAGTCATAATATATGTATGAATTACTAACGCTGATAGTAATGCTTTTAGGAAACGTTTTCTTTCTTTTTTTACATACATACGTAGCTAAAGTGTATTCATTAAAACAACAACAAGTAACAGCAAAAAACCTACTCACAAAATGTTAACCTGGCTTCTGGTCTCCTTCGGCTGGCGCAATCTCTACCTGGAGCTTCTGTCAGCGGGGGATCCAACAGGATTCATGGTTTGATCGCAGGATGGACCTCGATTCCTTGGGTTGGGCCACCAGGTTGCGGGTGGGATAGACGGACTAGGGCCAAGGTCAAATCAAGGTCAAACAGAAGGGTTGTCGAAAAAAGCTGTCCCCCCCAGTCCCCAGTCTTCCAGTCTCGTTGCGGCTCCTTCTCTTTCGCTTTCTCCGCGCATTCGACAATCACCGCGAGGATCCTTTTCGTGGGTATGTTAAAGAATCAACCATTTTATGGAATATGTCATATTTGAATCAAAAATCCTTCGCCCAGAAAAGCAAAACTTGCTGGACACCACCAAGGATCAAGTTGAGCATCGCCATGTTCACGCTCACCAGCACGCAAAGGAAGTACACAAAGGCCACCGGCTCCCTGCGGCTTTGACCCATGACCCGCGACGCCTGGTGCATCACGGACATACATAAGTACTATCCTCTGGCATATGTACATGTATATATGTATACATATATATATATATGACAAAATGTATACTCCCTCCTGCCATGATCCACAACAAGTTTGTTGACATGATTACCATACCTATTTCTTGATCCAGGGCGGTGAGCTGCATATGTAATATACTGCACATATTTAGAATATGCACATATACAATATCCGCCGACCTCCGCCTTTGAGCGTGGGCAGGGCGGCGCTGTTTGGCACCCTCCCAACCTCATGTTTAGGCTGCTTTTTCGGCTCGTTCTGGCCGCGCCACTGCGTTGTTTGCTTTTCAGGGGCTGCTTCTTTAGTTTATGGCCTGTTTTGTCCCCGTGATCTACCTAATAGTTCGATCGAAAGTCTGACGATTAGTCAGTTCAACTACATAGACAAGCATGTCTAAATACGAATCTCACCAAGAGGTGCTTGATGCAGGAGCCAGATGGCGTTGCTGGCTAACTGGGATGGTGTGACAAGCACAGCAACCGCATTGGGAGGCTAGCCCTGGAAGATAAATCCAACTGCAACGCGAAAGCTTAAGTGCTGTCTTTAAGCTGAACCACGCTGTTTAGAAAGCAACGTGTCTCTCACTTGGCGGTCTTGGGCCTCAGGCTTTCCTTGTTCTTTTGTCTCCTTACCGTTGGCTTCTTGGGCGCCGGCTTGGACTTTGCCCTTGCTCGTGCGCTTTGGTTTACTGCCACCGGCTTTTGTCTCTGTTGCGTTTGACCTTGGGCGCTGGTGCCTCTGCGGGTTGCGTCTTCATTTACATCCTCTCCGTCCTTTTGGTCGTCTGGGCTGGCTCCTCCACACCTGCCTTCTTTTCCTTTTCCTCTGCTTGGCCCTGTTTGCTTTTGCTGGTCATCACTCGACCGTTGGCTTGATGGTCTCCCTTTACCGCATGCCTAACAGTCGTCTGCAACCCAAGCTTACTTCTGCAAGCCTGCACAGATCGGCAAAGCTGTAGCATAGCAGGTTCAGGGTCACACTGAAGAATGAGATTAGGCGCGTTCAGCCTCATGCTAGCTCTGCAAATCTCCTCAGTCGCCTCCTTCAAGGATTGACCGCCTTTTGCTAAAATCGGCAAAGCAGTGATCCATCCAACCTCAGAATCAACTGCAAATACAGTGGTGCCATTCTGGTTTGCATGTATACTGAACCGTATTGCCCTCAGGATCCGTGAATCCATATCCATAATCCAGTTGAATGACAAGAATCCCCTGCTCTGACTTCTTCACATCATCGGCTGACTTGTGGGGCCCGTTCCTTGCTCGACCAGCCACACAACTAGGGCACCACGGGGCATACGGCAAATGGCTCAGCCGATGCTCAGCCTGCAACTTCTCATCTGGCATCTTCGGGACAGCACCAGCCTTGGCACCTCGGCGTTCCTCCTGAAACATCTTAGCAGCGATCTCCTGAGTTAGCTTTTGCTCCATCGTCGTTTTGTGCAACTTGAGCCTCGCCAAACACTTTGCCTTTCCTCCACCTGTAGCAATCCCGCATTTCTCACATGCTTCCCTCAATTGTTTCAAGGTTAAATCAAGTGAAAGTCTCATTTCTCCCAACGTGAATTCCTCTTCCTTGTCCACATCATCTGGGTGGAACTCAAGCTGCTCACTCTCCACTCCTTCACCGACCGGGGGCCCGGCCGAATGATCCCACAAAGGCATATTGGGAATCTTATCGCCTGGCTCAGGTTGGACCTCAAATAAGTCCTGCTCAATCTCATACTTATAAGTCAAGGGATCGCGAGGAGGTCCATCTTGAAAGAAAAGAGTGAGCGTGTGACACGGAAGCCGCAAATCAATGCAATATTTGGTAAGTCCTTGGGGTTCATCCTTTCCCAAATAGTTTGGATCGTTTTCCAGAACTTGACAATCCTTGCCCTCGACCAGCAGAGTAACCCGGCCTGGAAATTGCTCATCTTCCGCAATACCATCTCCACCATGATAATTCTCTGCAACGGGATCCACAAATGCAAGAATATCACCTTTCAACACATGCCATCCAGGATACTCAGAAATCTGATCAAGGCCTTCAGAAAGAATACCACGACCAAATACATCTGGCTCATAGTCTTTTTCTTCTTCGGCTCCAACTGCACGAACATGGACATCCATAACCAGGGTATTCTTCTTCATTCCAATCGGGATATGATGCCGGCCATTGGAAAGGCAAGCAGAGCCATCAACATGAGAAACCTGCCAGCCCTGCTTCACAAGCTTCCCCAAACTGACCAAGGGACTTTTGACATTCCCAATGACGAAGGTTTCTTTGAAAGCAATGCGTTCACCACCTAGCGTGTTGCAAGTGAGGGTGCAAGTGCGGGCTCCACTCGAACTGATCAAACCTCCTTGAGCATCATGCAACACTGGCTGTCGACCTGAAGACCGAGATCCACATGCACTAAAACTGGGTGGCGCAACACTGCAATCGGCTCCCGAGTCCAAGATCACGCACTCAGGAACCACACCTGAACTGATTGTTTGCAAATCGCACGACTCTGGGAAATCATCTGTCAAATCAAACTCATGTAAGGAAGGAAAGATGTTCCACAGCCCATCCATGTCACTGTACGTCAAATCAAAATGCTCAGGTTTGCAACCAGAAGTCTCTGTGATCATAAACACACCCTCATCTTCTCCATGAAAATCTGCATCGCCCTCTTCGGTAAGATCGAAAATCTCAGTGGTGCAAAGCCAAGGGGGTGTGGTTAACCGAACTCGCCTCACACTACCACCAGTTCTCCATGTTGAGTCACTATCGACAGTGGACGCCCTGGAACTGTCTGCTGGGGCCTGTTGGGACATGTCTGGAACAGTTCGAGCGTAAGCTTTGTTGTCTGCTTGGCGCTTCCAGCATTCATTCTTCCAATGTCCTCGGCCTCCACAGTAGTTGCAAACATCTGTTTTGCTCGAATCTCCTTTGCCTTTCCCTTTTCCTCCTTTTGGGTTTGGGCTAGAATATCCTTTTCCTTTCTTGCCCTTTCCTTCTCCTTTCTTTCCACCAAAAGACTTTCCACCTCCTTTCCCTCCTTTGGGGAACTTTCCTTTTCCTCCTTTCTTTCCTTTGCCATCTCCCTTTTTGCCACCTGCTCCTTTTCCCCCTTACCAATCCTCCAACATCCATAGGCGCAGGTCCATCTGAACTGTATGGATTTCCTGAAGCTGGCATGCTTGTTGAACCAACCCATCGCGTGTTGAGTTCCTCAAACTGAAGCACCATTTCTCTCAATTGCGCATACGTTGTAGTAGCAGAAATGCGGAGTTGCAACTGCGATCTCAAAGGCTCCGGCGTATTGTTTAAAATCGTGGAAAGCTTCAAATACTCACTGTAACAAGACCACTGCAAGACTCATACTGCCTGACCAAATCCTCATATGCAATCAACTGCTCATGCAAAGTCTTGGATTTGTCGAAATTGGAATAATTCGATAGCTCACGGGCAAGAGCAAGCGACCTCATGCGCTGGTGGGGCTCCATCTCCTTGAAAAGAACCCGAAGGGATTCATACCCGTTCCGACTGATTTCAAACTGCTTGATCAAAGCCAAGGGCCGTCCCCTCAGCAAACTGCACAAGACACTGAACAGCTTGTAAGCGCGGTCGCGAGTGTCCTCCTGCATGCCTGAAATCTCTCTCTCCTCATCCAAGCCGTCAGAGACCGCCTTGATCTCTTCCACAAATCCTGTGTCCATGGCTGATAGCCAATTTTATCAGCTGAAACTTGAAGTCTTGCCATTGCGTCAACTCTTCTTCCCTGTTTTGAGGTTTCCATACCTCAGGACCCTTGAGATATCTTGCCCAAGAGTCTGAACTACCGCGTCCTCCTTCCACGGCAGCCTCCGCTGCTCTAGCACTCATAGCCGCTGCACGCAAAGCTGTCTCCAGCCTCTGGTCATATTGCACATAGGCCTCTTGCAAGGTAGATCTGATCCGCTCCTCAAATCCAGCCTGCTCTGTAAAAGCCATAGGTCAGCAACTTAGGACAATTCCACAGTCGCACTGCCACAAAGGAAAAAATGGGGCTCAACCACCGAATCACTAACCACCTACCAGAAGTGACTCCGCTACCATAAAACAGAAACCGCAAAGGTTCGAAGCGCCCATCTATTTTCCACCACACTGCTTAGAGCCTAAATCCATCCGATCGTCCAAGTTATTCAAGGACAAACTGCTCACAACACAGAGTGTGTTTCACATGCACATGGCGTGTTCCATGGACTGAAATCTGTAACAGATGTTGTAGGTCGCTCAAGCGCTTGTCTTTCTGCTGTGGTGCGCAGTTGCTTGCCTGTACTACCTTCTGCTATGGTGTCATCTCCTTCTTGTGGGTGATGTAGGCGGCCATTGGTGATGTTGGCTCTGTTGTTCTCTTCTGCTTTGTTGGCTGATCGCCTGGCGCTCTGTCTCTTGCCTTCTGCTGCTGTGCTAGTTGTTGCATCTTTCTGTGATGGTGGTGCCTTGCTTGTAGCTGGCATTGTCAGTGGTGTTGCGAGAGTTGGTGCGCGCAGTGCTGAGGCTGGTGTCTTCCATGGACCTGTGTGTACACAGTCCAGTAGTTGCTGATTGTGTTTGTGAGGCGTAATCTGCCTTCTGATTGTCCTTGCTCTGACAATCTTGTTGTAGATCCCAAGAAGGGATTCGCCTGTGGTTGTGTCCTTGCCAAGCCAGATCCCGTTCTAGAACCTTGTTGGTAGCATGTATTGCACTGTCTCACCAAACTCGCAAAGTGGTGTATGTTGCTCCCTGTTCCACCTGTTGAAGTAGCTTGTGCATCCATTGCCGTGAACTGCATACCTGTTCATGATGTATGCGCTGTGTCGAACTATCCAAGGCATGAGTGGGTAATTCATTGAAATTTCTCTGTTGTAGTTTTGTCTGATCTGTGCCTTGAGTGTTCTGACTTGCGCAAACAGTGTTCTGTGCGCTCGCTCTACTCCACCTTGTGATTGTGAACTGTATGCTCCTGAGTTCCTTGTGGTGATGTTGCCATTCTTGTTGGCCACTGCTGTTGTGAGCGCTGTCAGGAAGTGTTCCTGATCTGATTGTAGTTTCGTGTGTGTTGTCCTTCCACATTCAATTAGTCGAAAAGCATTCTCTTGTCTGTCAGCTGTAGTGCCATGATCATCCCTGACTGGATGTCAATTGCTGTGAGAATTGGGTGTACATTGCTATCATCAAAGCCTTTGATGTTGCCGAAGTCAAGCTGTATGGTTGGAAGCTTGCTATGTTGCTTTGGACGATTGTTCTGTCTGGCTCCTGCTTGTACAAATATTGGACACCAACTCCTGTAAGGGAGATGTGTCACGTTGTGCTCGAGTATCTCCTGTGGTGTTGGTTGCTTGGGTGCTTGTACTGCTTTTGCTTTTGCGCCTTGTTGTTGTTCCTCATCATCTGACTCAAGTTGTGTTGGGAACTCCTGATGTTCCCCAAAGTTTGTCCAGCCTGTCCAAGGCTTGTCTGATGTCTTTGCGGCTGAGTTGTCCATTCATCTTCTATCAATCTCGTGTGTTGTCTTTCTCCTCCAACTGGTACCTTGGTCTGTCTCCAAGGTATGAGTCGTTTGATGTCTGGCCCGTCGTGCGTCTGCTCTGGTATGTAAAACGCTGTTCTAGGCTCAACATGTACTCTCTTCCAGTATGGGCCTTCTCTGTACCAGTAGTCTCCTCCAGGATGTACTTCTGAAGGATGTGGAATTCCTTGTCCAGCTGCACCTTTGGTGGTGTGTGGTGCTGCTGACTCCTGTAGCGTTGGTGGTGTTGATTTCTCTCTCAACCTCGTTCGAGGGTTGTGGTGAATCACTTGTGGCGTGATCCTCTGTGGCTCGCTCCTTGGCTGTGTCTTTGTTGTAAACTGTTGCTGTAACGTTTCTGGCAACTTGTGGCTTTCTTGATCCTGAAGGCTGTCTCACCTTTCCACATCTGTGGTTGTGCTTTGTTTGGATCTTCTGTTGTTTGATACTTGTCCTCCAAGGTATTTGTTGCGCCGTCCTTGTTCCTGTCATCCTCTAGTTGCTCTGCTGGAATTGGACACTGTGTTCTTGATGGTGTGAAAAGTGTCTTCCTGTATTGCCTGTGTGCTCTGACAAGTTCTCCTTGTGCGTTGAACTGCCAGTAGTCTCCTGCGTATCCTGTATCTGCAGGACCTTGTGGTGTAAGCGCTGTGGTCGGTGCTATCATGCCAATCTGTCCTTGTTCTGTGTTGTGTATCTGTAGCTTTGTTCCTTTTGGCAATGTTGTGATTTCTGCTTGTAGGAAGAACAGGGCATTTCTGTTCTCCAATGTGCTGTTGAAGCCTTGGATGCGCTGGGTTGTCATCCAGTGTAAGTTGGAAACCTTGTTCCACCAGCCTTGTAACCGAAAGAATTAGATGTTTAACCTCACAAGCGTAAAATGGTATGACAATCTGTTGTCCGCTGTGGTTTGTCATGCAAACCCATCTGTCCCCATGAAGCTTGATGCGCTGGCTGGTCACCGTTCGCAGTTGTGGTCCTGCGCCACGTGCTAGTTGGTGTAGTGGAAATTGTGATGCGAACCATAGTGGGCATACATGTGTAGCCGCACCGCTGTCAATCATGAGACTGACCCATTTGTTGTCTTCTAGTGGTCGTTGTGTTGTGCCAACCATGGCGACGGTTACTTCACGTAGTCCTGAGATAGGCACTGCTGATGAATCTGCTACCTGTGGTGGTTGTGGTAGCGCCAGTTGGTGCATCTGTGACTGATCTTGGTGGTACCAGTTGTTGTCGTAGTGTGCCTGGTTGTACCAGTCATCTGTCTGGTCATTGGTGTCGAAAGTTCCTGTGTCACAGTTGTAGATCTCTGCGTTGTTTGGCCATGTGTCCTGGTTGTCCACATCTGTAGCAAACATTTGTTGCTTGTTTTCCTTTTGCTCCTTTTCCTGCTTGTTGGTTGTTGTAGTATCCTTTGCCTTTTCCTTTGTTGCTGTATCCTTTTCCTTTGCCATATCCTTGTTGTCCTTTGAACAGATTTCATTGTCCAACCGGTTGTTGATTGTACTTGCCTTTTCCTCCTTTGTAGTTGGAGTAGCCGTAGTTGTTCCCGTAGCTGCCATTGCCTTTGCCTTTGTTGCGCTTTCCTTTGCCCTCGCGCTTGCCTTTCTTTCCTTTACCTTTGTTGTACCATGTTGCTCCTATGTCCATCGGTGCTGGTCCTTGGCTGTTGTTGCTTGATGTGATTGCTTGTAGCCTGGTGAATGATGCTGTCGCTCTGTAGTGCTCGATCACCATTGATCTGATCTGTGCATATGTTGTGATGTTTCCTGCTTGCAGCTGTAGATGTTGCTGTAGTGCTCCTTTTGCTTCGTTGAGCAGAATTGCAACCTTGACTGCATCTGGCAGTAGTGTGTTGTTGTCTTGTTCGTACCTTGAGAGTTGAAATTCCCATGTTGTGAAGCTCTCTTCGAACTTCTGTTCATCAAGTTGTGGTGTTAGCAGCCGTGTAAGGTACCCAATGCTCCTTGTACCAAGTGGTATGGAGTACCTTGCATGTATCAGCCGCCATGTTTGCGTGTTTTGCCTGCAAATTGTAGATGTTGGTTCATCGCATGTGCTCACCAAAAGGTAGTGTAGATTGTTGCTCAGTTGTACCCATTGCTCTGCTACTGCTTGTGAAGGTGCGGCGTTCTCAAGTTGGTCGTTTGAAATTTGTCCTGTTGATTGCTCTGACTGTTTTAGCGTCTGTTGTATGCTGGGTCTTGTAATCCTAGGTATGCTGTCATCATGTACTTCCATTCCTCGAAGGTGTTGTCTTCTCCTGTGAACCGTGGTGGTGATATCTTGTATCGGTGGATTCCTTCCAACTGTTGTTGTTCCTGTTGCTGCTGTTGCTGTGCCATGTTATACTGTGTACCTGAACCTGTGGGTGTATGTCGGAGCTCACCCAGGGTTGTGGTCGTGGATCGTGTACCAGGGATCACTGCGCCGCTACCATGTTAAACTCGGAGCAACTGTTACTGTTGTAACCTAGATGCCTGAAGTGTAAAGCGAAGCGCTGTAATCTTTTGTTTCAGCGCAATGATGTATCCAACTACTCCTGTACTAAGGCTCAAGGCCTTGATTGTACAAAGCAGCATTCCAGATTTATTGGGATGCATGTATCTTAACAATATTAGAATGTATGATATGTGTAGAATGACAGCAGTGCAAAGACTCCATTCTTCCGGACCAAGCTGTGTTGGCCCAACACCCAAGGATTGCTAGCGAAGCTTAGGTAGAACAGATTCAGCAATGCTTTCGTGAGATATGATGGGCTTTGACTGTGAAGGGCATCAGGAAGTCACATGAACGGCCCAGGAACAAAAAACACTCATCCAGAATGGCCATGCCCCATATAATAGAAACATGCTTTCCAAATCCAACGTCGCCAATACCAATTCAACAATAGGCAGTGGCTAATTGGGGCTCCCCCTTTTCTTGTCGGAAAGGGGCAAGCCTATCTGGGGACAGAAGAGGAGCCAGGCCTCCAATCGCATTTGATCCTTCAATTTGGGGAGAGGGATGAATCTCCTTCAAGTCACTTGAAACTGTCAGCTTTAGCTCCAAGAAACAGAGAGGAACACCCTTCCCTGTCGCGAGAGAATCATCCATGCCGAGATCCGGCAGCGCCACTAGCATGCCGATCTTGGGCAGACGCATAGCAGGTGTTTGCAAGCAGCTGCTTCTAGGAAAAGGGGCCACCCTAAATCGGCCACAAGCCCTAATTTAACGGATGCGAAAGTACAACAACGCCCTGTGTCATGCGCAAATGACCAGTCCCAAATTTGATGGGCCACTGTCCAAAACGCTGGTGCAGAGACGTAACCATGTCTGCGCGGAACACTTGCGGACACGCGCCTGTCGATGATCGGGGTGGCATATGTGCCCCACTCATCTCCCACAATCATCGTCTGGAAGAGCGTGACATGGGACTCCCAAACCGATCCTTGCCATCGGCTGCCCCAAATCTTTACCCGTGGTTCATCTGACAAAAACCTTAAGCTTTAGGCCTTTAGGCCAAGCCCAGTACCCAACCGTTCATCACTTCTATACCAAAAAGTCCGAAGTGGTTGGCAGTCGAGTCCCATGCCTGGGCAGGTTCAACCAAGTACCGCACGCTCTCCCCAAAACTCCCGCGGTTTAGGGAGCCTGCTTTGTTCTCCCATGCTCTCCCCAAGGTGGAACAACAACATGCAGCTCCGCATCCAAAAAAAAACAGGAATTGCCAGTCGAACTGCTCTTACCACTCAAATACACCTCCGGCTTTGAGTGTCATGTCCTGATCGGTTGGTCCGTCCACTTTGTGCTCGCTAAAATGCTCATGGACTCATTGACAGCAAGTGTATAGTCCAGAATTTTCAGACAGCGAGTATTTCAGTCTTTCGACCAAAAAAAAAGGTACCCTCAAAGAACACCCATGTGTCTCGTCAAGGTTTCTTCAACTTGGCTTTTCTTGGCCCAAAAACGGGCCTGACTATCCCTTCCGAGTCTTTGGGTCCTAATTGGTCCGTTCGCCTCAGTTCGCCGAGGCGCGGAAGGCGTGAGCGCAGCGCTCGCACTCCTCCTCCCGACCTTCCCACACTGCCACGTTCACCGGGTGGATGAGCTGAACCGCCAGGATCGACCAAATGGCCAGCATTGCCAGCACCATGCCTTAACAAAACAAAAAGAGAAAGGTGGCTGAAGAAACAAATCTCAAATTTTCAATTTTAGTTTGGGCAATATGCAAGGTGAGGCAAGGGCGCTGTGCGCCCTGATTGGCCCTAAGCCTGGAAGCCTGGCAACCTACGTGCCTAACTTAGTGAAGGACGTTAGACCCCTTGCCAACAAGCTCGCCTTTCAACAAAGTGAAGGAAAACCAGCAGAGCTAGCAGATGCCAAAGGTAAGCCTTTGGTCTGTCAATTCATTCCTTGGGCCGGTATTTTTTTGTGTTGTGGGCCCACCCAGAAGCTGGATGCAATGTCGAATCCTGGCGGCCCATGCCCCAGAGGATGGACCTGACCGCCGCGGCGAAGCTGAGCAGCAGCATCTTCAGCTCCCAGAACTGCTTGACGAGCCGGAAGACCCGCCCCAACCTGCGACACGCGATACGCGATCCGTACAGGGCGTATCAGTTGTGCTGTTGGTTGTGTGAGCTCAAGTTGCCCGAACTCGGGGAGAACGCCCAAAGCATATGGAGCAAGGAAGCGACTGGGCTTCTGAAGAAGGCAGAACTGGGATACTGGCTTTACTTGAGGTTCCGGGACCATTCCCAACAAGCACGGGCGCAACCAGACAAACCTGGAAAACACGAAGAATGCTCTGAGGAACTACAAGAAGATCAGGAAGAATCGGAGGGTGAGATCTCTGATTCTCCAAGAACCCGTCGTTACACCGACGAAGATTCAGACCTGGTACTAGATGAAGCACTCTGACACAGTTCACTCATGACCAGCCCGTGCTTGCGGGGTATCTAATCGACCCTAGACCAAGGAAGCGCGACACTTAGCTTTCTGCGGTCGGGACTCTTGAAGCAGCGATGAGGGAACAATGGGGAGTCATACCCAGGCAATGCTTGGGGGCCGTGACTACGCCTCCGAGGTGAAAGGGACCACGACTACTGAATGAAAAGAAAGAGCACCATGCAGGAAGCTTAAGAGCAAAAGACAGGCGGGGTCCAAAAGTTCCCCCTGGGGGAAGTGGAACAAGAAAGGGACTTCCAGGTGCCCTCTTCTAAACGATGAAGAAACCTGACAAGACACTATATTTATACTAATTCAACTGAAAATGAAAGGCATGGACCTCCCGATACAGGTTTTCGATGCCTTCACCCCGGTTGCGATCCCGTGGTGACTTTCCAAAAAAAAAAGCCTGGCGAGGCGGAAGATCCGGGCGCCGGAGATGGAGAAGGTGTTCCAGTCCGTCATCCCGAAGACCTGTCAGATCGATCCACTGGCTAAGCGTTTTGACGGTACCGTTGCCTTTAAAAGGAAACAATCTGCATGTTGCTCCCTAAAATGCCAAAAGCAGATTTAAGGGATCCCCAAGTAAAGGACCTTTTTCATGGCGAGCTCGCTATGCCCCCGGTGAGCTCGCTCTAAAATAGAAGTTCATCCATGATGTGCCGGTTGTTGGGGGTTTGGCTATACGTCTCACTCACTTGCTGATTCTTGGGATCTTGAACCTGGCTGTGGGAAAGCCATCCCGGGAAGCACTGGGCCGGTTCGGGGGGGGTGATCCAAAGCAACCTGCCTCCAGGAAGGTAAGCGCCATATCCTGGAGGAAACAAACGGCCGGGTGTGTTGTTTTCTCTTTTGGTTGCTTTGTGTCTTCTTTCTTTCTTTCTTTCTTTCTTCCTTCCTTTCTTCCTTCCTTCCTTCCTTTCTTTCTTTCTTTCTTTCTTTCTTTCTTTCTTTCTTTCTTTCTTTCTTTCTTTCTTTCCTTCTTTCCTTCTTTCCTTCTTTCCTTCTTTCCTTCTTTCCTTCTTTCCTTCTTTCTTTCCTTCTTTCTTTCCTTCTTCCTTTCTTCCTTTCTTTTTTGCTGGGGGTGCGAGGCATCAAACACGCATATTACGGATGCGCATGAATTAACGTACTTCAAACGACAAGGCCACGCCGAGAAACACTGTCCTCATTGGATTAACGGACTAACAAGTTGGCTCTAACCACCCCACATCTTGGTGGTGCATTGGTTTCACTTGGGCAAACTCATTTGGATCAAAGGGCTCCTTTTTCTTGATTGGGCCTAGCAATTTGCATGGGACCTGTGCAACACGCCTGGCTCAATTGTGCAAATGCAAGAAGCCACGCATCGACCAGTCAGTGGAAGATCGGATCTCGGTGAGCAAACATCCGGCAACCAGCAGACCAAAAATCAGGGCTTCCTCCATGTCCCCTGCTGGAACCTCCAAAAGTGGCAGTTTCAATGGAAACCCACCAGTAATTGCACCTTTTGAAGGAGAAATCCAGGGATCCCCGAAAGAAGTGGGGCACGGTGGCAAGCGAATCCAAGCGAATCCGTCTCGGTCCAGGCAAATCAGCGAGAAGTCGAGGAGGTTCCAGGCATCACCTTTCATCGCAAGGACGCAAGCCTGCGAGCCCCTGAGACTAGGGGTGCAACATCCATTTTGGTGGGGTGAGGGGTGGTTTGGTGGTTTGGTGGTTTGGTGGTTTGGTGGTTTGGTGGTTTGGTGGTTTGGTGGTTTGGTGGTTTGGTGGCTTGGTGGCTTGGTGGTGTGGTGGTTTGGTGGTACTGCTGGTAGTTTGGTGGTTTACCAACCAAGTATTCATAATGAGGTTTCATTCAGCACTATCGCGGGATTTTGTCCACAGTATGGCTTGTTCCCAAGAGAACATGGGACATTGGAGTGTCCCCTGGTTTTGGTTTTGTTGGGGTTGTCCACGCATGTCCTCCCCCAACAGCAAGGGCACTACCAAGAAGATCAGTTCCTCATGTACATTAACCTCCCCGCTCAAAGAGGAGCTCTGATTCGTCTGATCCGGACTAGTCCAAACATCTAATTTCATGTTTGTCCCAAAATAGGGGATCCTCACATTGGCGGTGTTCCCGTTGAAAAAGGGCTCCCTCAAAAATGCACCAACCCATGATGGTGTACAGCCCCTGAGCTGGGCGGCAGAAGTATGCCAGGCGCAACGCGTAGATTTTCACCACGGCTTCCAGGCAGTAGATTGCCAGGAAGCACCGGCCTTGCGGACTATGACGGTTCATGAAACAGATCTGAAAACTATGCAATGCACCAAGGTGGGAAGCCCGGGGTCGTGATACCAAGTGGCTGATTCTCATGACAAAGGCTTGGTTTCTTAGGTTAACATCACGGAAAGTTGGCTCTACCAGCTTTGGAAGTGGTATGCCACGCGCAGTACCGACGTTGCACCTACGAATCTACGTGCCAATAGCAACCATAAATCAATACATACATACTATGTGTATATATATATATATAGACGTAGAGAGGGATACCAGCGAGCAAACTAACCAAGCCCTCCTTTGAAAGGGAATCGAAAAGGAGGGGGTTGCAACAGTTTCTCAAACATGGTCAAAGGGTTTTGTCGACCCCCAACCGGTTTGGACCCATAATCCAGAAGAGACGGGGTTGAAGTCCAGACAAAAACTGCAGTCTCCGACCCCGACAGCAAATCTGGCCACAACCCATCATCCAAAGCTTGTCGGGAACATAGCACCTTATTTAATCCAGAAGGTACAGTCGACTTTCGTCAAGTTGTGGTTTGGTTTAGTGGTTTGGGTTCCCATTTGGTTGTCAAGGACCCAAACCGAAAACCACCAATGCAGACCACCAACTGAGGGTTGTCTGTTACTACCAATGCAGACCACCAACTGAGGGTTGTCTGTTACTAAGTAGAATTGGCAATACTAAAGTAAGTACTGGGAATCTGAAAGAGGGCGTTGGCAATATTGAAGTAGAATTGGCAATACTAAAGTAAGTACTGTCCCTCCCAGAACCCTCGGATTTCCGCCAAAGAGGGTCTGGCTGACTGGTTGCACTGTTCAGGGGGAGGGGGGGTCCTGTAAAGAGGGTCCAACATTGCCGGTGGGCTGCGGTCAAAGACCACGGATCGATTCCATTGCCCAAGCGGCCTGCGACGCGGATCTCGACAGTCAAGTCCCCCACTGCGTTTGCGTCCGTCTCGATGACCACCAGCCTAAGCGAAGAACCAAAACCCATGGCTGTTTTGGGCGAAGCGACCTCAGGTGTTGTTTGTGGCAACTTGGCCTGAACTCATCGGTTCCCGCGTTGAGTCAAAGGCCTGAAACAGTGCGGCCGAGTTGACAAACCAAGCCAAAAAAGAACAATGAATTCCGGCAGAGCTGACCCCAAGGCCTAGAGGTCGAGAAGAGCATTCCAAAACACAGGTGTCCTCAGACCTTACCAAACAGGCAAGCCTCGGATGCAGTTGGGAAATAGACAAGTAGTGGAGCTTTTCAGCTTAGCTTGGACCAAATGCCCGTGCTCTGGCTTTTCTTATCCAGAGGCCAAGACCCCAAGCCAACTCCACAAGCCGGATGCCCCCTACCTGTCAAAGCCTTGGGCAGATGGCCGGGTCGTCAAGACAGCTCGTCCATATGTGACCTTCCGGAATCACATGTTTGCGGAGTGTCGGAGGATTGGTTCAGTTGTGAAACAATATATTGCTTCTTTCCACTGCTTCCCTTGGCTGAGCAAACGAGCACAAACCACGCACAGCGCGCCATAGTGTTGCTTCCAATGTTTTCTGTTGGGGGTCGTAGGCTAGTTCCAGGCAAAAAACCAGCAACTTCCCGCCAGTATCTACGCCGTGCGGCACCATGTTGCAGCAAATCACGAAGCCAATGCCCAGCTCAAATGCTCGACTCTGCGTGAGCTCCTTCACACTCTCGAGATCTATTGTCATTTGCCTGGCTTGTCGCTTTGATGCGACGGATGGCCTAAAAGACGCAAGCAAACCAACCACAAATCCATGGTGAATTCAGGTAAATCCCGTACTGCTATACACCGACATATTTAGGGCATCCACCGCATCGGCAATGTGATCGAGTAACCTTGATGTGCATGGCCAGGCTTTACATGAGGGGTGCGGGTTCTGCTTGATTTTCCCTTGAACCACGGGTACCAAGCCTCAAAACAAGACGCTCATGTTTTGATTTCAGGCGACCTAAACCCAAAGCTTCCGAGCACACCGACTTTTCTGCCACACAAATCGGAAGAGCCTGATACAACCAGAAAACGGCCGGGTGTCCCGATGATATCTGGGGCCCAATACCTAGCTGCTGACATTGTCCTATGCCGATAAGAGAGCTTAGGTACGCCACAACCTAGGCCCTTATAGCACCCTTTTTGGTTAGCGTAAAGCTGATAGCCATAGGAAATGAGGAATTCCAACAAATCCTTCCATTTGCTGAAGCCCCCTGGAAAAAATGGAAGGATATTTCCAGTAGTGATCGATTTCCTTTAAAACCAACAAGGGAGAATATAAAATATTGAGCAAATGGAAGAATCCGTGGGGCGCGCGCCTGCCCAGCACTGGCTGAGCGGCCGATTCAGTGCCCTTCGCCGCCATGCACTTCGGGATCCAAGCGGCTGCGGGTCAAGGCGCACTGTCGGCCAGTCCCTTGCATAGGAGAAATAGATGGCAGATGGCCCTGGTAGATGATTAAACCACCAGGTAGACCAGGGCTCGCCATCGATTTTTCTAGCGAAACAACCAAAAAGGACACCTATGGTCCCTTGCGGAAACAAAACAAACCTAAAAGCCCAAAGCCTAAAGCCTAGAAGCCAAAAACCTCATGTGAGGTGTTTGGGGGGTAGGCCCGCATGTTCAATAGGGAACTCCGTTTTGGTTTACCTGAAGAGACTCTTCGGGTGTGGTTGTTCAAACACATGTTGCAACCTGTTTCTACCCGAGTGCTTTGAACCTCAAGTCAGCGCCCCAAATGGCTCGCCCTGTCTGGGCAAGACCTCTTTGAAACCAAATAAACACCCCCTCAATAAAGACAAAGCCACGTATAAGTTTATCTTTGAGGTCAGGGAAGCCCAAAAATGGCTTCGGTTTAGGCCCCAACTGGGTCCCAGAATCACAGCCTTTCACTACGATCTTATTCCGACCTGAGTGGACTGGCCGACTGGCCCTCTGTTCGCACTTCTCGGGCCTTGAACAAACATGAAGACCATTTTAAAGATGGTCAGCTCGTGTCAGCACCCAATCAATCAGAAACTGTTCGCCGTTGGAACCCCCAACTTTGTTTGGGGGGCCCCTTGCTGAATCAGTAACCCACATCTTTCGATTGCCAGCGATGTGCCTCCCGGCCTCCCCGAACCTGGCAGCCAAGCGCCTCGCACGCGTGGCTTGCCGCAACTCTGGGGCTTTGATGTGATACGCAAACCCTCCCCTCGCTTCCGAAGCGGATTGGCCAAAAAAGTCCAAACGGTTGTGTTTTGTTGTTGTTTTGTTCTTCTATGTAAGTTTCAAGTCCAGGAACTCAGGAAGTGAGACTTCCCGAGTTCCAATCACATGGCGGGACCTGGTTTTTGTTTTTTTCTTTTTCTGGGGAGCGCTGACAGGTGGTATCCATCCCCTTTTGCTCAAATTCCTGACCAGCTTCATCCCCCGTTCTGGTGTTTCTGGGCTGGACAATTGGGCCAACCCTAATCCCTAATCACAGGCAAGCCACTGCAAAGCGCACCCCTTGCGCAAGGAAATATTTTACGGACTGAAATGCATGGTCTGCCAATAGGAAGCTCACCAAGACTTTCTGCGCAAACAGTAACATCTAACTGCACTTGATGGATCTATTGGTCCTGAATTTGGATGTCCACGTCTCAACGAAAAAGAAACCGAATAGCACTGCAACAATATGCTATTCATTCCCCCCCTGTTTGCCCCGATAGAAGCCGGTCCCTGTAGTTAAATCATATTCGATCGTTGAGATGCGTCCTCCAAATGCACATAGTGATTTCCTGGCTCTGAATAAAATATGATACTACTCTTTTGTTGTCTTCAGAAGGCCCCATTCTCCTTGTCTGGGTAGGCCCTATTCACTGGGCGCACGAACTGTTTGCTCGGTGGTATTTCCTGCTTTGCTCATCTCAGACTAGCCAACTGGGTATATGCCGTCTATCTTAGTAAACAAAGTGCCAGTCCGATTGGTTATGACCCCCCTAAAGGAAACCTTCCGACCGCGGCCCCAACAGGTCATATTCAAACCACCTGCCTCACTTGCTCCCTGCAAGTGTCGCCCAGAAGGGTATTCTGGTCCAACAAATGTCTTTCCGTCCCAGTGACAAGTCCTCGGCCAGGATTGGAGATCAACAGGTCTCTTTCGGGGGGCACCCCGACCCAATCCAGCCTGCACAGCTGGCGGATGCAGCTGCAGTGCTATAGGGAGCCCCATTGAAAGCACTACTTTCTGAAAGCTGGGGGTTCAGTTGCACTGGTTCACCCTTTTGATCGAGAAAAAATATTGGAACCAAATTTGGGGGTGGCCAGTCTTCAAGGGAACTCCTGCACCCCGAATGAGCAAGGACAACGGGTGCCACTGAACAGTTGGGAGAGGGGGGCAGGCTCTTGTGCTCAAACAACAAAGCGATCACTTGCATTTGTGCTCCATCCGATCATGGCGGTTCGACTGGTCGAATTGGAAACAGCGGACAAGCACGGCATTTTTCAAAGCGAGCTCCTCTAGGTTTCCCTGATTCACTCGTGGGAAACCAACGAGTCTGCATATATATCCAAATGGGGAAGCCATACCCATCATCAAACTCAAACTGGCGTCAAATGAGCCTCCCCACCTAGGCAAGGGACTTGTCCCCTAACCTTCTACCTGAGTTTGAAAGAGGAGCTGCGCGGCTCGACTTTCAAGTTTGCTAAGTGAGCGGCGCTCAAAACCCGGTGGCTGGTTCTACGAATATGGTTTCAAAAAGACATGAAACTAGTTTGAACCTATGCAAATGGCTTTGAGAGGTTTTGGGTGCTGATTAAAAACAGCGGGCCTATATAAATCTGGTCCTACAAACAAAAGGATCGTGGCTAGGCAACAGGAAGATCCGCGGCAGCGTTGTCAAGGGCCCCTCAAAGGTAAGCCATCAGATACAAATCGAGAACAATTGCGGCCCAAGATGGCCCAATTTGTTTAAGTGGTGGACAGGGTGTGTCCAAGTGCAAACACCCTGAAACTCCGTTTAACTCAGGGTGAGGTCCAAAGCAAGCCTTGTATTTTGAACCGAACCTTGCCAGTTTGGCAGTAGGTCAACCATCCCAAAAAGTCCGTCGGACCCCACCATCCCAAAATCAAGAAAGCTGGAAATGGACCCAAGCCCGGAAGCGAGCAGCTGGCGGATTTTTTTGCTTGCGCGAATTGGGGGGGCATTGCCGGCCCTTGCCGCGCCCATTGCGATCCGTTGGCAGCTTGATGAGCAAACACCAGTGCGTGCAAAAAACCATTGGACGAAGTCTACCAAATGTTTTAGGATTGTATAGGCTTCGCTTAGACTCAAAAGGGGTTTTGGGCGCTGGTTACGGGGCCCGCATAGCCTATAGCGGTTTTGGGGTGGAGTAAGCTGACAAACTTCACAAGTTGCGCTTGCACAAACGTGAAGCAACCAATCAACTTATACTTGTCAACTTCATGACAGAGCCTGACTCATTTCACTTCTCCCTTTTCTGAGGGGGGGGGGGCAGGGGTATACCAGCACAAAATGCTGTTGAACATCCACTTACGAAACCTATTTCCAAGACTGCACAAACGCCAATCAGTCCTAAAATAAACACCGATAGGGGAGAGGACAACATACAATCTCTCGTGACGATCTTAACGCGCGCACACACACACACACAGAAGACCCAAACCAATACCCTCGTCAGATAAGTTTGTGCGTTTATGAAACCAACTGTTGCAGAGGTGTTCTTCCGAAGCTGAGAGCTAGCCACTTGGCCAGCCAACTCGAGACAAGTGATCAAGATGTTGCAACCCTGTTGCAGGCAACGTGAGCAGAGGGGGGGAGGGATGTCCTTGGTTCCCTTGCACAGCAATTCACTGCTTGCTTGTTGGGGGTCGGAAGGTTTCAATCATTTTCCACGTTGGAAGGTTGGAAACCAAAGAGCCAAGAGCAAACGCTATATTCACAAGCACCCATTTTGGAGTGTGTTGATGTCGTGGCTTGGGCTGAGAGGTTCGGAGGTCGGGCACTCTGCCATTTTGGTGAGGACCTGGCCGTGGGTCAAATGTAGCGTACTCAGAATGGGACCTTGGTAAATGGAAACATGGACGAACACCCGCGGTCCCCTAGTGGTTTAATATTGACCCACATCCATCTGGCCTCGGATATGTTCGTCGAATCGGTTTCGGATCTGCACAAGGGTCGTCTGGCAACAGCCAGCCCCCGGGTGATGACACCGAAAGCTCGGTGCTATCAATTCGATGGCCTGCCACGTTCGTGGCAGCGCCTCATAATTGAATGAATTTTCACCGAAAGCTTGCGAGAATGCAGCTCAAGAAACTAAGCAAGTATACTTAAGCAGTCAACTAATCAACTTGATGTAATTCTTCTTCAGCTTATTGGAACTGCAAGCCCAACATGCCCCCTACCTGTATAGTTACCAAGTCTTTGGTGCAGATTCCCTCAGCTCTCGTCGACATTTGGCAGGTACAACGAAGCCCGAAAGCGATCGCCTCAGGAACAACGGGCAAACTGACCTGTGCAAAGCTTCATCCGCTTGTTAGCGGCTGACTGATCCAACAGCTGAGAGGCTAGTGAACAGCCTAAGAGTTGAGAAGCTGGTCAACAGCCTATGAGTTGCTGATAGGCACGCCCTAAGTTCATGGGTCAATTCCGAACCAACGCGAGGAACATAGACATTGGCGAGGTGCTAAATTTGGTCCACAGGTTTTGGTAGGGCTGCTTGAGGCTACGGATTCGACCAGCGAGTGCCGCAATCACGGCACTCTCGGTGCTAGCCATAGCGTTGGGTGTTAATCATTGGACACCACCCCCTCGGAGCCCTTTCAAGACAAAATGGGTCAAAATCTCATTACCCCCAATAAACATCCCAATCCCCACCAAAATAGGTTCTAAAATTAAAATGGGTGGTGCACCTACCCCAAAATGGTACCATTAATTTCGACCCACGGCCAAATGTCTTTGGGTGTGAAATCAACAAGTCCGAGCCTTTGGAGAAGGGAGGCCTAGATGTCGCGCCCTGGGTGCTGTTGAACTTCCCCAAAAAGGGATCCCCTTTCCCACTACCCCACTGCGGTCTTGCAACTGGGACTTTGAAAAAAGGATGGACGGCTGCATTTTTTCCAGGCCCTACTGAGCACCCAGATTGTGTTGTTTGGCTAGATACTTTAGAACTGGAAATGGTCACGGCATCTGCAATCGACCTCAGTCTTGCAGCTCCAAAAATCACATGGAACCTGTTCGTTCATGGTGAGCAACAAACAGAGACCCGAAATCACTATGACAGATTTAGCCAAAGTCACTCGGACTGATTTATCTAAAAAAAAGGAAAACATGAAAAAACACTGAAAAAAAACTCCCCTTCGCCTCAACTTCCAGCCAAAGTTGTGACATGCTAACATTTCCCTCGGCCTCACCAAATGACTGTGACTCAAAACAGTGGTACCAAAATGGCACCTTGGTGTATGGAAACAAAGACTAAAACCTGCGTAACCCCTGGCTCGTTCAATTTTGAGCCATACCCAAGTGAGCAAGTTCTACCTTTACCTACCACTGGGCGAACTTTGGAATAGCGAGGCACGTTTGGGCTGCGAAAAAGTATCGAATCTAAGGTAGTTCCCGTTAAAAGAGTTGTTCATTACAAAGTTCCCTCCGAGTTCCAGTCGTTTCGTCAACTCCCAATCCTGAGCCTCAGACCTGGCCCTCACTTCCGCGGGCTGCGGCCGAACTGCAGCCTGGCTCAGCGGAAAAAACAACACAAGGGGAAGGGCAGCTGGGAGCAGCTGGCCTCACCTCAACATGTCTAAAGATGGCAGGATTCCTTGGGCTATGTAGCTTCTGTTTTTCTTGGCTATTCCAAAATGGGATAACAAGAGCAAAAAGCAAGAATGTTGCCCTAAGAAAGTTGTGGCCCGGACTCGAAAACTACCGTGGGAATTCGAGTTGCTACCGTATGTCCTCCCGAAAGCAACAGTACACTGCCAACATATTGCCGTACACCTCTCACGTACTTTTTGCGAAGCTACGCCTTTCCAATCTGTTGAATGATATAGTTCCCATTCAATGACCCAGAAACCGTCATTTGCCACTGAAAAGTGTCAGTTGGTTCGTTGGGTGGATTCACCAAGATAAAATTAGCAATGGAGCAAAAAAGGAAACTGCATCATGGGTAAGACGTGGAAACCCTACTCAACAAGACTATCCAAATGGAGCCAGGATGAGCCAGGACTTTGTGCGCAAAAAAAGAAGAAGTCCCTAATATCTTCCCTCAGCGTCCTATCCAGCAAACATCATTTCCCAAGACCTTGGGGGGTTCTGAAGCAAGCAATGGATCCCTGAATAAGTGTTGTGACCCTGGGTTCCCACTTGGCTGGACAAAGCATAATATCGAATGACTCTTCGATGGTTCCAAAGGAGGCAATAAACAATACTCCAAATTGTCTATATGCTTGAAGTATCAACACACTCTTTGGTGATCCCAGAAAACATTTCTCCGCACGAGGATTCCACATGGACAACATCACCTGCATGGAGCAAGCTGTTCATATTAACCTCGGAGTTCTTATCTTGCCCCGTGGCTCGAGGCCAAATGAAGGAGATGGTTGCCTACCCGGGGGCCAAACCAATCCAAACCCGTTTTTTGGCTTATCCGCATTCTGTTGCAACCAAACCAACTCAACCCTGTTGACATTTCTCCAACAGGACGAGGATCAGGTGGTCTGAACAGTTGCGAACCATCCGCAAACTTACCCTCTGGAAGCGACCCAATGTTTGTATACAGGAACTGGCCCCCAAAAGTATTTCTGAGATCCCCTCAAAGCCTAATCACTCCAAGTGACCCATAGCCACCTATTTCGAAGACCGGCCTTCTGGCAGTAGGAGGCGATGTCTTCCCACCTCGAGCAAATGCGCGCGAGTGCCAGACATTTGGCCGCGGCTCTGAAAGATGTGCCAACATGGCACCTTCGTAAATGGAACCCAAGACTAAAACCTGCGAAACCCTAGCTCTCGAATTTTCATGCACACCCATTTGGTCCAGGGAGACCCACACCGCCGACCGACTGTTTTCCCTTAAGGGATGCTGATCCTCTTTTCGAGGCTCGGAGCTCTTGGGAAAGTGGAAATTCTCCAACGACTGCCTTTCGGAAAATCTCGGCGGCCCCAAATGTAGAAACCCAAGTTGCAGTCCCCATATGTTTAAAGAGGCCGCCGCAAGACGAGCGGACGGAAAGGGATGGCAACAAAAAGGCATGACTTGACTGTATCGATTTTTGTCGAGTCCTGGCAACTCGGTGGGATGTCCCGCACGACATGTATGAACCGCTGTTTTACAAATACACCCGACCTTAAAAGTTGCCAACATCCGCAACTGCGATGTACGATAACTCCAACACCTGGAAGAAGGAATCAACTAAATAACCTCCATCAAGGTGAGCTGGCTTTGCGGCAGAAACATGGTCTATTCGGTTATCTCCTTCAACATCGGCTAGAGCTTCTATTTGATCCGAACGGCAGGGGGCACCCACGTCGCCGTGCAACATACAGAGGGGTCATGGTTTGCACAACCTTCAGCTGAAAAAAATCTTTAAACACCAATTCAGATTCGCTGTCAGGTGACGTTCTGTTTGTAGCTGCCGCTTCCTTAGCTTTAAGGGTTGGGTCCCCCGGCCTGCAGAAGTCTCTGAGCGGACCTCAAAGGCATAGACTGGGTGCGCGAGGGGGATCTGTTCAAATCCGTACGGCCGTAGAGCTTATCCATCCCCCCCATACTGGGAGGTCTATGGGAAATTGCTGGTTGGCAGGAAAATATGCAGCTGATCCAAAAGGCAAGGCTATGAGATCCAACAAAAAGAAGCCAAGACCTGGTATGCTAGCAACCAAGGTCATCTTTTGTTGGAGGCCATCAAACTGACCATAACCAAAACAAGAAACGACGGAATGACATGCCACAAGCAAAGATTCCGAAATGACAACCCACAGTCAACCTGATAAGTCGCAAGGTCACAAGCCTCAAACGCTGGGATGGGAGAACGCCGGGGGGGTCGCTCAAAGTTTGATTACACAGTACCTAACGTTCTTTGGGCGAAGCACTTGAAGGACAACTGAGTTCCAAGCAACCAGTTATAGCTGGTACGGTTTCAGCTCAAAGTCCCTTGAAGCCCGGGAGACAGTTTCTAAGGGTTCCTCAATTGGGGTCCTGGGCAACTGAACATGATCGAGCCCCCCAATTTCCTTCCACACAGTGCAAAAGCTAGAGATTGAAATTGTGGTTCCAGATTGCAGGTCCAACGAGCCAAATGCAGCAGAACTTGGCGAACCAGGGTTCATGCCTCTGAAAACTAACAACGAAGGCCCCCGGTCAAAAAAAAGATGAACAAGTTCTATATGATGTTCCATTTCTACCCACAGCATGAAACTCACTTGCAACGAAAGGACTCCGAGAAACAGCAATCCTCCCAACTGCCAGTCAAGCTCGATACGCGTGTTGTCCTTTTTTAAAGAAGGGACGCGATTCAACATCTGCAAAGAGGGGGTCCTTGATGTGCACCTCCTTCTACATTAATCATGGGGGGGCAAATGCTGTCCGTCACATGGAGCCGCCCTGCACATTCTAAAAGACGTTGACACATACGGCGGAAGACCCCAGACATGCAAGCAGAGATCCAGCCAAACCGGGTCAATGAACGCGGTTGTGGCTGGATTGCTTTTTACACTTGTCAGGGTTTCTCTTTGCCCCAGGTTCCCGGCCGAGGCCTGATCTTCCTTCTCTAAGGATCCTACACCCACCCCTTGCGACTTCCCACTGCAGCCTATGCCAGAGATTTCATGTTTGATCCGGGATCCAGATGCATCCAGATGCATCCAGATGCATGCAGATACATGCAGATACATGCAAATACATGCAGATACCCAAATGGTTGGAATCAACCACCCCAGAAAGGATCTACGTCTACCTTGGAGTGTTGTCACATGGCCACCCATCAAAGCTGGGCTGCTGGCGGACGTCGGGCCTGCAAGCCCAAATCGCAGAAATCCACAAGGTGAAACCTCCTCATGTCAGACATCCCCACAATCCGTGGAGGGCTGATATACTGATATTTGACCCATTCAGAGGGTAAATGTGACAAACACTATTACATTGTTTGTGTGGCCAACGATAGAGCGGTTCATCACCACCCACCTCCCGGACCGGAAGGTGATGTTTGACAGCCCGGGAAATCCACGAGTGCCATTTGGCGGATGAGAAACTCGGCCTTTTTCCAAAAAGGGAGCCTTTATTTGGGGTGGGCTTTCAATAAGGCCTCCTCAAGGACATGGAATCTTGCCGGCAACAAACTTTCTACCAGTACTCAGTAGTTCCAGAGTGGATGAGCAACCCTGCATTGTCAAGGTGAGCTCTAACAGGCTGATGTGAGCCTTTCCGAAAGCGTTCACCCTCCCATGACACCACGCCGCAAAAGGTTCCAAGAAAGAAGCCCATGCAGCCTCCATTGATTCGCAAAAACCAAAGTGTTGCATGGCCAGGGAAACGGAGCCTGACCTCTAAACCGCCAATCCAAACCACCAATTGTGGATATATATGGTGGGGGAATCGAAAGCGAAAGCTTCCACCATGCAGCGTCAAGTTGTAAAACACCTGGTTGTTTTATTTTCCATAGCCCTATCCGACCCACTGGCTGCCAGGTTTCTCTCAAGCAGGAGCCATACTCCGCTCTGGCCGTACGTTTCGCATGCAGGCGCGCCTCTGCTGGCGCTCTCCTTGTAGGGCGTCTCGCCAGGCTCCGCCACCTCACCGGATTCACCGGAAAGAGTTCCCAGAATTTCGGCGGGTCTCCCCCTTCGAAGATCTTGAAGCGTTCCCAGGGTCATGACCTTTCGCAACTTGCGGCTGGCCAAACACGCAACCACTGCAAACCTTACATGAAGTGACCCAGATGCGGCTCTGACAAGCTTTCCCTATATTGGGGCCCTGCTTCCCGGTTGCAACCAGCGACCCACAACTCCTTCCACACGGATAAGGAGATCAATCCGCGCCACATGCTGTCCAAAAACGAACTCTGGGGCTAAAGCGACCCACAAGGTAGAAAAACACTTGGGCCAACTGTTAAAGTTCCCCGCACACCCAAAGCTCGGCGGGCGTCCCGGCAGGCGAGAGGCCGAATCCATGGCGCGCGGTCTTGGCCAACGGCGTGGACAGCCTCGGGCCGCGGAGGCCCAAGATCCAGGAGGACCCGAGGGTGGCAAGGCACCCCAAATAACTCCGAAATATGATATGATATGTGTATGTGTTTTTCCAGCGGTTTTGTTGCGGAATGCTCGTTGGGATCTGTCATGTTGGAAGGGGGAGTGAGGGATGTGTTGCCTTCCCACTTCCTTTTTTGGCTGGAAATCAAGTTGCACACCCTCTTCAAGGGTTTTCAAGAATAAGAATGTTCATTCGAAGGGGTCTACAAGGACAACCGAGTGGATGCAAGAACAGTAAACTAAATGATGGCAACCACCAGGAGAAGCTGCAAACATCTGCGCTGAGAAAGACTCGTTTTGACCATGGGAAGAAGGGCACCTGTTTGGGTAAGGAGACCCCATCTCCCTTAGAAGAGGAATAGAGGCACCGGAAGTCTGGGGTAAGGGCTCAGTTGGGGATGTGTTTGTTGATTGTCTTTGGAAATTTGCACTACCCCCTAAAGCATTCCAGTAGCGAGAACAGTATAACGCCTTTCTCAAAACACGACCTGGTTAGGAGTATATATATATTATAATATATATTCCCATATCAGGCAACGCTTCGGTTTTCCCTTTGGCTTCTCTTAGCCAAGTCCCAAAAGGGGACCCTCAAACAACACACACCCTCCATTTCTTGACTGCCCCAAGATGGACTTAAACCCAAGGGCTCTCCTGTTGGAGCAATGACTACCCCTTTTGAGTCTTTCCTAGGGTTGTCAAATAGTGGAACCCTGCGCCCAACTACAGTCTTATGAACATAGGCGTCTTTTTAGGCCGGGTAGATGATTAAACCACCAGGTGAACCAGGAATCGCCATCTATTTTTCTACCAAAACCACCAACAAGGACATCTTTGCTCATGAAGCCACGCTTACCGTTGCTTCGATCTTTCTGTCTCCTGGCTCCAGGCTCTCTGGAATGGCTTCTTCGATGCACCTGGCTGAGCTGAAGTTATCGAGCAAGCTGACCAGCTGAGCGGTAGAGTCTAGGTCGTCCAGAAGAGAGGTTAGAAGAAGGGTATCAACTTTTTTCTGTAGCCTATTTTAGTAGGGGAACCCCTCCCCCAAAAAAGGGGAGACAAGGGCAGAACTGGGGACCTGGTTGCATATGCTGGCGGATTCTGACTGGGGGGGTGAGGGGGACCCCCAACGAAAGATCCGCAAGGAACTTTCATCCTAAGGCCCCTTCTGTCGCAACAAATCATCCCCAAGTCATTTGCCCAACATGACTTCCCTATTGCATCAAATTGTGGCTTCAAGGCGCACAAATGCCGATCTTCAACTGCAGCTGGATCTGCGCGTGGATATCGAGAGGGTTCACCTTACTTCCCCGAACATCGCAACAGCAAAATGGAGCCAACGCCGATCCACAGCAAACATGCGCACAATTCCTGCGCTTCTCATACTGTGCTACTGAACATTTACCGAGCGTTGCAGGGGCACCTTGTTTTGTACAGTAGCTGATGCTGGAGATATTGCACAGATTGAGACGGCCCCCGTCACAAATCAAACAAACCAACAAACTTCAAACAAACAAACACAAACCCACACATTATTCTTAGAGAAGTCCCCTTTGGAGATACGCCCCTTGGTTCCCTCTGTGAAGTGCTGCTGCTCTAGAAGGAACAAACACCCTTCCGCTTTCCCGAGCCTTCAGCTCGGCGGTCATCGATGCGTTCGCCTGGCTGAACGCTCGCGTGGGTCGACCCGTTTCCCGCAAAACCCAGCCACGCATTGATCGCCTTTTCCAGGTGTTCTGTAAAATCCGAATTCGTTCTGAAAGACCTCAGGGCGATGTATCGATCCACAGGTGGCCATGCATTGTTGCCTTCAGGCGAAGGCCCTGGTAACTTGCAATGGAAATGAAGAGCCTATGGGCTGCGTCAGGAAATCAGCAGTGGTGTGTTCGCATGTTCCCTGGGCTCAAGAAAATGAGTGATGAGTCCAAATCCCCTTGCAAGAGCCCGACTTGCGTTGAAGAACACACGACCTGGGCTTCTCAAATTGGGGATGGGCAACCCGCAAAATGAGCGCACTCGCGCTTTGGTGTCCATTCAGAACAACCGAACAAAGGCCACACGACAAAAGAAACCGCACATGCTCCAACGATACCGCTAAAGATTCAACCAACGAGCAATCAAGATCTCAGGCGTGCAGACCTGATAAATCACAAAAAGGCGGCTCTTGCCCACTGAAAAGATGCCTGGATGGTTTTTGATGACGGAGCGCAGTTCCGGCAAGTCGCCTCTGGCCCAATTGGCTGTGTCCAGCCTGGGTGCTCCAACGTCGCGGGGCGGAAACTTGCCCCCTGCAAAGGAACGCATAAGCATCCAACACCAACCTTCGACCCAAAGGCGTGATCGCTTTTGTAGAGGCATAGACCCTTGGTTCATGTTGCGTCACGTTTCATGGCAAACATTCGAACTTCTGAGTCCATGTGTGGATCTTGTTAATGCAAGGGCAAGCTCTGTGGTAACACTGCTCATGCAAGTGGCAATTGGCGTTTTCAGTCTGGTGAACATTCGCTTTAGAGACCCACCCAAACGGTTCACTGTCATGAAGCTCCCTTTGCAAGCCGGCCGACCTGAATGGTAGAGCTCAAAAAGCAGCCGGGAATTTCTCATTAGGGGAATGACACCATTCTTACCTGCGTGCCCCAAGTGACGTGCCACACATGCCTCACTGACATCACCTTCCATTTGCCCCAAAAAAGGGCAACATATGTACCAATGTACCAATTTACCAGTCATGTCCTCTTATCAGCTTCCCAATGCATGTGGTGCTTGGATTGGTGGCTTGGAGCTCGCTCGGAACATGTGATCGCGGTGAAAATGCAAAAGCAAGGAGATCACTGGGTTGGTGCGCGACCGCCTTCAAACACACCAAGCTACTTGCTAGCAAGTTGAAAATTGCAAAAAAAAATTGTCTGACATTTGGTTAGCCGGCGGGGGATTGGCCAGAAAGCTTCAAGGTCAAGTGCAACCCCTTTCTCTCGGTTGGCCTCTTCTTGGAGGTGCGTTTGAGACCAACCGCAACCACATGGCAAAAGAGATGAACGCGAAGGGAACCGTGTCTTCAAGTCGAGGGGAAAGGATCTCCTCCCAAAAATCGACTGTGCCGTGCCCTTTTGCATTTGAGGGTACCAAAAAGACAAATGTGGCGTGGTTTTTTGCCTTTTCCCTCCAAACCAAGTTTACAAACCAGGGTACCTACCCCCAAACAAGCCGACCCACGCCGCCTTTTGACCACAAACCGACCCGACGCCAAAAATCGCCGTCCAAAGGGCAACTCCGGGCCGTCTCCCAGGTGCTGTCGGTGGAGCTGGTGTCCACACTGGACGCGCGCCCAAGTTGCTTAAGGTAGGGAAGGGAATCAGCTTCCCTCTCGGTGGTTTGGAGCCCGATGGCTTGGTGGTTTGGATTGGCGCTTTGGGGTGGCTTCTCATTTACCATCTACAAAGGTCAGAGGTTCAAATCCAAATCCAAGCCACCAATCCAAACCACCAACCAAGGGTTAAAAGCCGTTATGCGAGGACTGGTGGTTTCCTTTAAGGGGACCAATTCCTGGGCATATGCCCACATTCCCTAAGCACCAGCAAGGTTACAACATGTTACAACCAACCCCTGGTCCCCTTCAGGATACTGCTTGTCTCAGCCTACCCCGAACCAGACCTCAATTAAGCCTAACCCTGAACCAGCCCTAAAACCATCGCTGCTACAACAATGGTGATTCACCCGTGACTCTGCATTACTTGCATTTCACACGCCGAAATCAAGATTTGGAATTTGCAAGAGACCTCCATAAGTAACCTTCGTCTACCCCAGGTTTGGCCCTTTTGACCAGCTCTTTTTCGGGGACCAGTTTGGCATACCCCCGAGAGTAAAGCTGCACTTTCGATTGGGCAACCCTTGTTTCCAATGAGGTAGTCCCAAACAAGACCCTGCGGATCACCAAATGGGAACCCAGGATTCGCAACCTGCTGGATTTTGATTGGGGGAGTTTCCCATAGAGGCAACCCTTCAGCTTGTGGAGAACCTCCTCCCATCAGTCCGAGTGGATCAATCTGCAGTCGACACTACCACTATACCACTTGGTAATCATCAATTGTCCTAACAGCTTTCAAACGGGGGGTTCCCTTAGATACCCATTGCCATTTTAAACAGAAATGGGATCACCGGGTTTCTCCCCTCCGGAATAGATTGGTCAGAAACACATACAAACTTGATGCATTTTTCCCAACAGTATACAGTCCAGCAACTTGGGAAGTAAGATTTCACCGCGAGATCATGCACAGGGGGGATTACCCTTTGCTGGGCAAGTTTCCCGCTGGGATCGGCTGTTTTAGAACATAATTCTTGTATTGGCTGACTGCTGATGCATGTACGGGTGTCCCACAACTCCTTAAACATGTCGGTGAACAAGTTTCTGTCCTCTTGGCTTCCCTTGAAACACTGACCAAAGGAAGTCCCCGAAAACTCTGGGACATGAGGATGCAATCAAAGCCTACTAGGTTCTTGAGTAGAGAGGTTAGAACTTCCTTGGCCTTCTGTGGCAAGCGAATCACACACACACACACATCCCATCCGCTCGCGACAAACCCGGCCAAAACCCCTCCGCCTTCTTTGGCAAGGGGATGAGCTGCAAGAGACCCAAACGGGGCCTCAGCGGCCGAAAGCGGCATAGCAGTGGCCGACACCATAGATACGATCAATCCCCTTTCCAGCGAACCTCAGACTCAGGACAATTGCGGCTACTTGCAGGATGTCCATTGTTCACCTACTTGCAATTATGCAGAGCATCCACTGTATCGACTTTGTCATTCTAGGGGGGACTTTCATTGGTACACAAAATGGCAACCAGAAACCTACTTCTCCGCAACCATGGTCGTCATTCCTGTATCAGGCCAAACTCGCGTGTGACTGTGCACATCTCCAGGGCCAAGGACTATCATCGGAGGCTCTCGATCTGGAGTCGCCTGCGGCTTTGGAACAAGGCTTTGGCTTGTGATACGCTCCTGCAGCCTGCAGGTTAACATGGAGCCCAGAAAGCCACGAATGTTAGAGACATCTCCTTTTTGGGGGGCTGAGTTACACGTTCATCTGCAGAGTACAAAGGTCGCTGGCTTTCTGGCGACCCTTCACACAGCAACCAAAAGGCGCTTCTACTTGTTGAGCCGCCAGATTCGTAAGATCGTTGACCGACAGCTTCAATGGTGCTGCAGCACTCCCGATTCCAACTTCCCTATTTGGGGGCGGGGGCGGTACAGTATGATACCACCCCCGACAAAATAATAGGAGATGTTTGATGGAAGACCTGGTCGAACAAAACACACCCACAACCCCGTGACGAGCTTGTTTTGTTCGCCGCACGGGTTTGATCTGGAAAGCGGCCGTCCCGCTGTTGGGTGCTGCGGGTCTCGTGCAGGGGGCGAGATCTCAAGATCTGCTCGTTGGAAACTCGTGACCAGCATGTCGCCGGCTTGGTTCCAGAGCCTATGGCTCGCCCAGGGAGAGGTGTTGGGCAAGAGGCTACAAGCCAAGCGCGGACTCCGAGGTCTCGCTCTCCGTGTGCTTTTTGAATGTGGGCCCTTCGAGGACGCAACTGCGCGGCAAGGCCAGGAGGGTCACAACAAGCCTCAGACGAAGGCTTCACCACACCCCGTGCAAAACGGAAATCCCGGGCCGACCACCTGCTCCAACGTATTTGAATCCCCCAAAACTTCAAACAAGCTATTAGTGTGCCTTCTAAGTGATACCCAGGTTGTTCAAACCGATTTGGCTCAACTCTGGCGCCATCCCCTTCAGCCAAGGAGCTATCCACCGACCTGCGCCGATGAAACAAGCTTCAGGTTGCCTCTTGTCACTGAGGGCTTGCCACAGGAAACCGCTGAAGTTCAATGGGGCGCAATGACTTCAATAATATCCTTCTCACAGGAAAACAAGAGGACTGAACAGCATCTGGGTGAATTACAATATTTAACCAATCTAAAATAAGGTGGTCTGGGGGCTATTCCCCACATAAACCATCATGTGGGGGGAGTTCGTGCGAGGTCGTTATAATTCACCCAGACAGCATGTCGGTCCACCTGCGCTTCGGTGCCTGCTTTGAGGTTCCAAGCAACTCGGTAAAAGGTCAAGCCGGACACAACCATATTTATGCAGCGGGAGTCTGATTCCCCGCAAGATGTTGAATACGCTCGCACCCAGTGAGAACACCACTACAACAAAAAGAACCACCATCCGGCATGAGGATGACACAGCCCAGCCAAAGTCCCCAGTCAGTTGGAGCAGGCAGATTCCGTCCAAGCTGCGGTTGCGTCCATTCTGTGAGCTGCGCGGCCACCGACAGCAGACTTCGCCTCAGCGCCAAATGGCGCGTCGCAAAAACGTCCAACATATCTTGAGAACTGGACACATTACTTGTTGCCCCAAATGACATGGGAAATTTGGGTGGGGCCCTCATTTTTTATGATACATTTGGATGGGCCCCCATGTCCTCCCCAAGCCAACGCTCGACTAGCCATGTTGTCTCTCACCAAAGCGCCTGGAAAAGCGGCACCCACTGGTACGGATCAGCTGATTAGCCCTTCATGAAGCCCGGAACCACTCGTTTTACCCTCCCTCGAAAGAAAAAAAACAAAAACCGAGACATATTTTCCAGTCGCACACGAACCCCAAGTCTCCAAAACCTGCATTGGAAGGAGTCTGAGGGTGTCTGAAGGGAAAACTGGTGGCCCACGAACCCATTCTCCAAGCGCAGGTTTTCAACGTTTTTGTGGGCAGAATTGTCATTTCCATGAGGGAGTCAAAAGGCAAGCCCAGTGTTCAACCCATGCAAGGTCCTTCCGTTCCAGATTCATCTTGCACACGCTAGAACTATGTGCAAGCCTGGCCCTCTGCTTCGCCTCTGCTTCGTGTTTCCGAACATCTGTTGGTAGGGAAATGCAACGTCAACTGCCCGAAAACTCTACGGCGAGCCTTGTCCCATGCGAGCCCATTTTTGGGGGGTCCTGATTTCCTAGCGAGTTCCAAAAGGGACACAATGCTTGGATGCAACCCCATTTTAACCAAAACAGGGGGTACCCTCCAAAAAAGGCACACCCACATGTGTAGAGATCCGTAGATTACACAGCAGGTCGAATATCCAAGTCACACCATTTGATCTTCAGCAAAAATATGCACATTTGCGTCACCTGGTTTGAGACCCTTGGCAGTAAAGCGCAATTTGATCACCACGTTTTGCGTCAAGCTGCCGCGCTTCCTCGTAGTTCACACTCCCGGCTGCTGCCAGCGACTCCGCCTGAGGTGCACGCACAGGGCATAGGGCCTATGTTGCAGTCACTCTTTATTGTATTCTTGCTTATTTAATCTGCAGTTTTTGGCTTTGTTTTGCTTTTTCCTTTTTGTAGGGGGGGTTGAGGTTTAAGTCTTAAACCTGACTTCTACGCGCACGGCACAGGTAAGGTACCCCCCAGTTCCATTCGATGGTAAACTTCGGATTCATCAATCCCAAGAAGAATCCCCGCCAAATGCCGAGTTAAACCTCAAGCCGGCTGAATTCCTGTCTTTTTGCTTGCCCCTGAGTGTGTGTAAAGGAATGGTCATGACTGGTGGATACCACACGCTTTCTGGCACCACACTTTAAACTCCAGCCCTTCCAAACCTGGGCCAGACTTGGGCATGGTTTAGGACTGCACGAAAAGGTACGTAGTCTTGGCGCATATCAAAGATTTCTGGGTCCTCCAGTAGAGAGATTTAGAATAAGGGAACCCCTTTTTTGCTGTAGTCTATCTTAGTAGGGGAACCCTCCCCCTAAAGGGTAACAGGGCACTACTGGGGGACCTAAGTTTAGCACGAACTCACCGCCAAACTGAGGAACTCCTTGGCCTTCGCGCAACATATCCGGCTCGCATGTCGTCTATGTCAGGCCAGTGGGACACATGGCAAAGCTGCAATGTGTGCGATCATCCGAAGTCTGAAACAAGACATCACGAAGTAAGGATCTCATCATGGGTGTTCGCTCGTTGTTGTCCTCTTAAGCCTGAACTGATTGGTTACCACCAAAATCATCTTCCCCAAAAGGTTAAAGTCCATGAACTCAGGGAGCGAGTATCCCAGCTTGCCATAGAAGAGGCAGAACACTTGACCACCGGAGTCGCCATCCAAAACGTGGTGTTGAAAAGGTCTATTCAACTCCGTGCAAGAACAACAAGGGCGGCTGCACTCATTTCTGCTTGGCGATTTAGTCTGCGGACTAAGTAACCTTACCCGAAATTATGAAATCGCAATTGAGGAGGCCCCAGCCACGGTTGGGAGCAACGGGAAACCCAGATCTGAGCAGAACCCCTGGTTGATTGGGTGTCCTCTTTTAGTGGCACGGGATTTGGACCACTTTTGGAGGGGCCCCCCACTCCCCCTTTTATTTGGACGGGTTCTACATGGTTCTACTTGGATCCGAGCTCAACATGACCCCTTATTCTTCACTCATATTTCGGGATGCACACATGGACATTAGGGCTGGACCTTCTTCTTTTGACCAGAGCCGGTTTTGTTGCCCGAAAAGGGTGGGGTCATATAATTAGAAGATCCCGGAGAGGGTATCTAGGTCCTCCAGTAGAGCGGTTGAAATAAGGGTACCAACTTTTTCAGTCGTCTATTTTAGTAGGGCAACCCTCCCCCAAAAAGGAAACGGTAAAAGCGCACCTAGCTGGGGGTCTACCCTCTGAACTGTTGGGCGCCTTGGCCGTATCGCCGCATCGCGGCACCGCTCGCGCCTGGCGGTTGGCCAGCTCGGCCACCTCTGCGGCGCGCTCGCTCAACGACAACTCCGCGCTCGCCTGGCCGCGTGGCTGGAAGGCGGGTGGATGTCTGGGTCAACGGGGGAATCTGCGTAAACCATTCATTCTGAAGGGGCTGGGGATGGCTGGTTGGTTGAGTCAACCCCTCTTTTGGTGGTCTGCTCAAAATCCAACCATTTAATTGTGTTGGCTGGATGGGGGGGTCCTGCCCAGCCCCAAGTGAAGCGGATCCTGTCAGGTAGTCAGTTTTTGTGTTGCCCTCCACAAGTATATGTTTGCCAACATAGAATCCTGCAAGTACATCCTCGAAAAATGAAAGCCCTGACAGCCAGCCCCAAAATGGATTCCTTTTGGTTCTCCTCTGAGCCAACCCAAAACACTGGGTGCCTGCTTTTAGGGGGACTTCCAATAGTGCTGGGTTGCCTTCCCTTCAAAACCAACACAAACAAAACGTCCCTTACAAAAAGAGGAACACCCAAATGGGAGGCACGTGGGGGACGCGGCTCCTGTTCCGCCAGCTCGGCGGCCCGCGCGCTGAGCTGGTGCTGCTCGTCCAGGGCTTGGACCTGGCGCCAGGCGCCCTTCAAGCCCAAAGCTGCGGACGAAATCCGTTCCTTCCATTTGCTTCAGCCTGGAAAAACAACATATTTCCAGAAGTGATAAATTCCCATTAACCCCACGGGAAAAAATGGCTTAAGCAAATGGAAGGTTCGCAGCACCGAGTAAACCCTGGGATGGTTCGATGCCCCAACGGTACATACCAACAACAATTGTTTCCGATGGTTACTGTAGTAGGTAACCAAGGGAAACCATGATGTAAAACATAGAGCTAAGGATCCCTGGATACCTAGTATAGTGGTAACTGGACGCACAGGTATTGATTTAGGGCTTAAAACCAAAGCTAATGGCAAGCTATTGAAGGTGATTCAACAAGTGGCTTGAGTAAATGGTTGAACTTGGGTGTTGACAGTTAAAGGCCTTGAAACTGTTGCTGGATTGGCCGTGAGGTGTTCGGTGGTGCATTCCCATTTACTCCCTACAACAACCAGGTCACTTGAGCGCCGCGCCTGCATCTGCGCCAGGTGCGCCCACAGCGCGGCCTGCTCAGACAGCCCATGCTGCTCGTCCAGCGCCTGCACCTAAGCTTGGCGGGTCACAAAGCGCCAGGTAGACTTTTA